TTGGTGGGATCTCAGATGTTCTTAACTGAGCAATCTTTAGAACTTTCTTTAGAACCATCTTTAGAATTGTCCTTGGTTCCTGCCACCCTGTATGACCACCTTCAGTGCCTGGAGAACTCTGCTGCTTCCAGGTCCCAGCTCTTATGTCACATCGTGTTTTCAGGGTCCTTCGAATATATGTTCAATATTTGGGGAAATAGTAAAAAGCGCTCAGATTCCATCATGTATAGATAATTGCTTCCTATGTACAACTCTGCGGAGGAGGCCAGATGAGTACGCCCTGCCTGGAGGCTGTGTGGAGTGTCCAGGTGGTAGAAGCACTGCCTGTGTACAGAGCCACCTAAGTAAAGAGGCTTTCTCTTCAGACTGCCCTGTTAGGCCTGTTGGCTTTCACCCAAGAGCAGTGATCCGACCAACCCTCAGCCTTCTGTTTCAGCAAATGGCCGGTGGAGAGGCTAGAAGAGCTGCACTCTCAGCATCTGCTGAGGAGCACAGGCTCCAGTTCACTGTCACTCAAGTTTTAGCAAGACATTAGTTAAAAGATAAACATAAAGTGTCTGTTGCTTAGAGGATCGTTCTGTTTCAGATATTCACAAATCTATTCTGGCTTGATTTGATTTTTTTTTTATTTTTTTATTTATTTTTTGGTACTGGGGATTGAACTCAGGTCCTTGCGGTTGTGAGGCAAGCAGAGGAACCACTGAACTAAATCCCCGGCCCCTTCTGTTCCAGCTTGAGACAATGGGAAGCTGGGTTATGTGGTGCACGTTGCTTAACTCTCTCATGTTTGTTTTCTGAGTTGTCCTTTATGTTGAAACTTGCCGATAGCAGTGTTTATTGTCACACTCCACATAACGATTACGTCATATGATCTTCTGAAGAACCCACAGGGAAGTAGCTCCTGGTTTCACTTTTAGTGATGGCTGCTAGAAACTTGAGAACCAAAATCTTACCCATCATAGCAAGGTTATGCTGTGTGGATTGATGCTCAGTGAGTTAATACACCATGCTGTTTTCATTTTTGTCGTTTATTCCTGGCTCTACTTTCACATGAGGTGGCACATGCCTGGAATCTTAGGACATGGGAAGCTGAGCAGGAAGATCACTGAGAGTTTGAGGCCAGCCTAACTCCCAAAAACAAAAGTCTTCATTCACACTTTAAATTTGCATTTTCTTGCTGTTTATAAATAAAATGAATTGTGAAAATGACCTATCCTCCCCAAGCTGCAGTGAGATCCGCAGATCCTACCCCTTTTCTCTGTGTACAGAGTCCAGACACAGAGTTGGAGTTGTGGCACACAGACCTTGTTCCCTGCTGTAAACTGAGGTTAGTAAGATCTCTCTTGCTTCTGTTACATCATCAGGTTTGAGATGCTTGATGCTGCGAAGAACAAGGTACGGGTGAAGATCAGCTACATAATGATTGCCCTGACGGTGCTAGGATGTATCATGATGGTTATTGAGGGCAAGAAGGTGAGAGCAGGCTCCCCTCTGTCCTTGCTTGCTCCCCATGGTGTGGCGCACCAAAGAAAGACTACATTAGTTTTTTATAAAATACGTCTGAGTTGCCATAAATGACATGAAATAAGCTGACATTTAGTAACCCTTGTGTATAAAGCACCCTTAGAGAGAGTATGTGTGTGTTTCCTTCCCCTTCCCTTCAGCAAGGCTAGCACTCTACCCGAGCTCCATCCCCAGCCCAAGACAGTTTTGGGGTTTTCTTCTCACTACTGGGGATTGAACCCAGGGTCTTCACAGTGAGCTACATTCTCCAACCCTTTTTTTTTTTTTTTTTTTTTGAGGTTGGTTGGTTTTTTGAGATAGGGTCTCACAAAGTCACTTGAGTTGCCCAGGCTGGGTTCAAACTTGCAAAGCTCCTACCTCAGCCTCTTAAGAGTGCTGGGATTTCACACTTGTGCCTCTGTGCTGGGTTGATAGTTATTTTTATATTTAGTCCTTTTTTAAAAAAATAACCATGTCTAATTCTATGTGTCACAGTTTCCATATGAAGAGAAATATCTTATAACTATTATCAGATATGAAAAAGATTCTTTCATGCACCCTTGTCCTGGGTGATTCTAAAGTGAAAGAAGTGAACTTCTGGCTCTTTGGAGTCAGTTACATGGAAACATCGACCACTTTCAGTTGACCTCACAGGAGCACAAAGGCCCCAGTGTGCTGCTACCTTGGCAGGGTTCTGTCGAAGACACTGATCCCAGTCATCCTCAGTGTTTCTTGGGCCCCTCCCTTGCCCTCGTGATTGATACCAGATTGAACTCTTCAGAAGCACATGGACTGCATGCACAGGCTTCTAGAATTCTGAGAAATCGGTGTTGCTTTCTATACTTGATTTTACACAGAGCTCACCCCAGTAGCAGGTCATTCTCCTGGGAACCTTTCTCGCATGACACAGGTGTGCACACTGTAGGTCATTACTTTAATGGCATTTCCATTTCAGAAACTTGGTAAATGCTACTGGAATGAAAAATTTAACTGAGGGCCATTTAGATTAGAGAAATTAGCCACTGTATATTTTGTGCTCAGCATTATCTGCCTTCCCCTCCCGTGTTTTTCATTTCCTTTTTTTTTTTTTTAAGATAGGGTCTCACTTTGTATTTACATATGTCACATGTATGTACCATGCCCTGCACCTTACCTAATTCTTTACGTGTGAGATAACACAGATATAATACCAGTTTATATGGGGGCTAGTTTCACTTATTTGGTGTGAAAATGTCCTATGTCAGCTCCATAGAAATGTTAACAGTTCACACACTGAAGCAAGGGAAGAGGGTGATTGCCTTTCCTACTGCCATTTGATCTCAAAGGGTGGAGTTTGAGGATATTACTGGAAGTCATCTATAGCGATATTTTGGTACTCTGAGATTCCCAAAGTTGAAAAGTTTTAAAAAAGAGGAGCTAGAAGGGTATGAAAATACATAAATGAATTGGGGAAGGAAAATAGGTGAGAGCAAAGAACAGTGAAAGGAGAAAAATGGGATAGAAGTGCACATGACAAGGTATTTAATAAAAACAAGACGAGAAGACGAGAAGACGAAAAGACAAGGGAATAAATTTATAAGGGAAGAGACTGGAGGTTTAGAGCGAGGGGCCATGAAGGGCGCAAAGGGAGAGGTGCATACTTCTCTTGCCTTCGATGGGCAGTGTCAGAGGGAGAAGACGTGGGGGCAGTGCCCAGGCAGCAGCCCATTCCCTGCCAACCCTGCCCTAGTTAACCTTTTACCTTAGGATAAGGCAAGGATATCCTCTCCAATCTGGTACAGTCACCTGTTCAAATGTGTCTCACTTTAGGCTGCCAAAAGAAATGAGTCTTTAACAAGCTTGAACTTAGAAAGGAAAGCTCGTCTGAGAGAGGAAGAAGCTATGAAGGCCAAAACAGAGTAACAGAAGTCTCCGTGCTGGCTGGACTGTGAACATCCAGGAATAATGCAGCAACTGCCTGTGCTGAAAAGAATGTGGTATGACGACCCACCTCCTAAATGTAGGTCTTACACAAGCTTATACCAGTTCCCTGTAGAGGTACAAATAAATTTTCTTAAAGAACAACTTGTCTGCTTTTATAGCTTTGATCCAAGTAAAATGCACTCTCAGCTTTTCAGGGGAAATGAAAATTGATACAACTTCAATATTAATGTTTTTTAGACAATTTGGTACCATATCTTACTTTATTCCAGTTATTACGAAAGTGACATCTCTCCAGGAGCCAAAATAGTTTCATTATTTCTCTATTACTTTTTTTTTTTGTATTGGAAATTGAATTCAGGGCCTTTGCACTGGTCTATATCCCCATTTTATTTATGTTTTATTTTAGACAGGGTCTCTTTAATTTACTAAATTGACCAGGCTGAGCTTGAATTTGTAGTCTTCCTGCTTGTCTCCCAGGGCCTGGGATTACACATAGGCACCACCACAGCAGGCTGTTTATACTCATTCTGAAGATAGGGAAGGTGTGAGTTAGAGAGCCAGCCTTCCCAAATGACATGGTGCCTTTTGGGGGGTTGGCTCTGGGAAGCTCTGAGAAGCAGCCCAACTGCACTATCACTGGGAAAAGCAGTTGTTTGGGGTCTCGCTATGTAGTTTAGGGTGGCTGTGAACTCACTATGTATCCCAGGTTGGGCTTGAACTTGCGGCAATCTTCCTGCCTCAGCCTCCCAAGTACTGGCGTACACCATCACGTCTGGTGTAGGAAACCAGTTTTGAAAATGTCCTGGCAAGGTAATGAGAGTGCTCTGACCAACAGTTTGTGAGGGTTTGAAGACCCAGCCATTGTGGAGTTGCTTAGGGCCAGCCCAGTCTCTTAGTTCCATGGTTCAGCGTTCCCAATTGGTTCCTTTCCTACCACCTAGGAAACTACATTTCTCAATTATGAGAATTTCATGCATTTTCTTGTTAATGTTAAAAAATAAGCATTATTTAAACCTAACATGTCTCCTTTACAGTTCTGACTTGGAAAACCAAGTTGTCTCATTATGTGTGGATACTGGTTTATACAAGCATTTCATTCACTTGCACACGCCTTGTTGATGAGTACATTGGTATTACAGGCTGTTCCCACTGTCAGCATGCTGCTTTTCCTCATTTGTAACAGATTAGCAAGCAATATATGCAGCTGTGAGGGAACTTTAATAAAACATTCAGTAAAATGTAACACACTACCCATAGCTTCAGAATCTGATGTCAGTGGTATCTTGTCTATGTACTTCTAGAGTAAGCTGACCTTATCTGCTTTTCAAATTTATTATCAAAAAGCATTATTTCTTGTACATTTTAGTTTTTCTTGATCATTTTCGGACCCCTAAACCAATGTTTTAAATGTTGGTAAATTTTAATGTGGCATTTTTAAAAATAAGTAACTTTTCTCTATAGAATAATTCTTAACTGTTAAAGAGCATTTGTGTTGTATCTTGTAGATTTATCATAATAAAGATGTTTTACTAAACTAAAGCTCATTCACCAAGGATTTAAATAATATTTCTTTTTGTTCCTGGGGATTGAATTTGGGACCTTGAGCTTTCAAGGAAGGTGGCAGCACCACTGAGCTAAATCCCCAGCCCTAAAGCTGATCTCTTGCTGAGAAAGAATCTCGCTATGTAGCTCAGGTTGCTTGGAACTCACTAGGATCCTCCTGCCTCAGCCTCTGGAGTGCTGGGATTACAGCAGTGCGTCAACACACTGGGGTATGTTCCTTTTACTCGTAACGTGCCCTTCCAGTTATGTTTTCTTTTTGGGGCTCCTTGCTCATCTCCTGGAAAAACTTCCAGGGTTCAGTTTTGGGAGCATCTGGACACACACGTGGACCGGGAACTCTGGACACTGGAGTCCCAGCCCTGGGAGCAGAAAACCAGTATGAGGACTCACTTCCCAGAGCTCCTTCATGTTATTTTCTATTCAGTGACATAGTGACTACCTCTTTACAAATTTCTTGGCCAGAATTTCAGACCTGCCTCTTAACTAACCGTACTTATGGTGCCCTCATAATACTAGTTGTACCCTACTACTACAGTGTACTGTAAACTTGTAAAGCAGATTAACATTTAATGACTATGATAAGGCAACATTAAATATTTTAAAAAGCAAAAGTTTTGTCATTGCTGCTTTCAGTTAAATTACTATCAATTACTATTTAATATCTAGATTTGGGGGCATGTTTATTATGTCTTCCTAGGTAAAATAGGCAGAAACCATTTTCCCCCCTTTTTTTTTAAGGTACTGGGGATTCATGCATGCTATTTAAGCACTCTACCACCAAGGTACTTTCCTAGCCCTTTTTAAATTTCATGTTGCGACAGGGTCTTGCTGATTGCCTAGACTGGCTTTGAACTTGGAATCCTCCAGCCCGAAACCTGAGTAGCTAGAATTACAGGCACGTATCACCACGCCCATCTTCTGCTTTATACTTTATATTTCCTATTAAGCCCTGTGTGAATAAAATTAACACGTGAGGCTAGGGTTTCTTTGAGATCAGTATGAGTTTTGGGCATGTATACTAAAATTTATCAAAAGTACACAATAATGAAACTGTAATACGTATTTTAATCATCAAACGTTTTAAGCCCCTTCTCTATGCAAAACAGTACAAAAACAGATAAGCCAACTTCCTGTTCCCACACAGCTCATTATCTACTGCAAACATGGCCCAAGAAGCCATTACAAACAAATCGGTAAAGAAATTGTTTTGAACTTTACCACAGAAACTGAAGAAACAGAAAAACAACTCAGCTGTGCAGAGGTTGGAAGAAGTCAAGAAGTCATGGTTCCATGAGGTGATTTTGCAAATGAATCCAAAATACGAGGGGGAGTTATTAGGTCACATACAGGAGAGTGGCCTCACCATCCTGATGTGTAGTTTCCCTAACAATCACAAGATGGCAAAATATAATAGAGGTTGGTATTAATCACATTCCTATTACTGAGACACAATACCGAGCACTCACTAACTTAGAGGAGAGGTTTAATTTGGCTTAGTTTCAGTGGATTCAATCCATACTTACCTGATTCCAGGGCAAAAAAATGACATGGTGGAGGAATTCTGCTCAACTCAGGACAGCCAAGGAGCAGAAAGGGAGGAGCCAGGGGCAAGAACATCCCCTTCCAGGTCACAGACCTAGTGACCCACCTCCAGCCCTGCTCGGTGTCCTAACAGCACATTCAGCCGTGAGCTCATCAGAAGATTAATCCACTCATGAAGATACTGCTCCCACAATCCAATCACCTTCCAAAAGACACCTCCGAACACATGGGACTTTTAGGGGACATTTTAAATGTCCATCACAACAGGGTCCTATAAGTTTTAGATGCTTAGAATGAACCTAATCATTACTTCTTTTCCCAACTCTCAGCCCCGATAAGGATTTCATGTCCCATCATCACCAAGTGTATGGGAGGCATTTGGCCTCTACAGTTCTGTAACCCCCAGGCGAATGTTCACCTGCCTTCCCAAACCAAAAATCACAAACTCACTTGCTTCTCTGAGACATCTTCTCTTGTCAGCCTTACTTTGAAGTATTTCTCAAGTGACTTTCTAGGATACTCACTACGAACAGAATGGGAAACTCTAGGGCAAGCACATAAGGTTCCTAACAGGCCTCAAGATTAGGAGTCAGAAGCCCCAGATCCTACACTTTATTCTTCCATTTACTATCCTCCCATTTTGTAAACACTGATTTTAAGTGTCAAAATATTGCAAATGAACACAATTTTTAAAAGAAATACAAAATCAAGAAAAGTCATTCTTTCAAACATCTTAAGTTTTTTGTTACCGCTTTTGGGGTTTGTTTTGTTTGTACTGGGGCTTGAACCTAGTACTTCACACTGAGCTACATTCCACCACCGACCCCCTTGAGAGGGGATTCCACTAAGTTGCCCAGGCAGAGACTGAATTCGTGATCCTTCTGCCTCAGCTTCCCAGAGTGTTGGGTTACAGGCATGTGCCACCATCCCTGTCTCAAAACATCTCAATTTTTTGACAACTTGACTTTACTACTTGATTTCCAAAGGTTTTAATAGTCACTCATCCATAGTTTAATTGTTTTATCATTTTCCAATGCTGCTGATGCAATGATGTTTTCTGTAGGATGACAAGCCGCTGTGATCACAACATCTGTATGACCTTGTAATTTCTGTACAATCTCTTTAGTCTGAAGGTTCCAAATGTAAACCAGGTTATCCTCTGAACCAGACACAATCCACTTTCCACCAGTAACTGAAAAACTGGCAAATATGCAATATTTCTCATTCTTATGACCAGTGTATGTCTTCAAGCATCTGCCTCTGCTGTAATCCCACAGTTTAAGAGTATTGTCCAAAGTTGAAATGAGGATATATTTACCATTTGGAGAAAATTTTACAAAAGAGACAGGAAGATTATCATCAACATTAAGTGTTTTTAAACACTGACCTGAAGCAGTGTCCCAGATTCTACAGAGACCATCATAGCTGCCCGACACTATCAAGGACCCCGTACTATTAAAATGAACAGCAGAAACTGGGTCAGAATGAGCAGACAAAGTCTTGAGGCACTTTCCTGTTTTCACTTCCCATATTTTCACACTCTCATCAAAAGATCCTGAAATAATTAGAGTGGATGGAGGATTGAAATTACAACAAAAGACATAATCATTGTGCCCCTCCAGAGTTTTCAAACATTTTCCAGATCTCACAGCCCATATCTTTAGAGTTTTATCATCTGAGGCAGAAACAAGGCAACTAGAATCTGATGACCAGGCAACATCTGATATTTCCAGATTGTGACCATACAGTGTTTTGTCGTATCTCCCATCATATGCTCCCCAGATTATAATTACTTTATCAGCAGAAGAACTTGCTATCCATTCGCCATCAGGACTAAATTTAACTGATGACACTGCCGCCGTGTGCCCCACAAGAGTAAGTTTGAGGGCATAATTAGGTTTTTCGGACACTTCCTGGCGCCGACAGGCTGATGAGAAGACACCTCCTGGCTCCTCTGCTGCCATGACTCAAAAGCTCCAAGGCAGGCAGTGGATGAGATGCTCTCCCCGTACCCACACAGGAGATAAGCATCAGAATTTTAAATACACCGGCTTTGAATTACTACAACTTCTGGATCGACTTTAAACTGCCATCACCTGAATCAGCAACATCGCCCGGACTACTTCAGTTTTCCCTCTGTTTTGCGAAATATCTGCCTGCAGTACTTTCGAAAAGGTCCCGCGGCTGTCGGCGAGAACATAGGGCGTCAGGGGTAGAGGGGGCTCCATGCCAAGTAATTTCCACGCCCGTTTCCAGCTCCCAAATGTTGAAACGTGGTACCTGAAAAATGCACGAACCACTCTCTGCTTCAGACAGATTTGAGAAGTTAGAATAGGTCATACAGAGTCACCGAAATTACAGGTCCGTCCGCAAACTTCCTTCCTTAATTGCAGCAGGGTACAGCGCTCGACTCTAAGAAGGAACAGCAGCCGAGCGCATGTGCAAAGGGAGCCCCCAATGGGAGACGCCTACCTGCGCCTGCGCAAAAGCGGGGCCAGGGTTGGCTTCCGGTCTTCCCGGTCCCCGCCCAGGGAGCGCAAGACGCCTTCCGGGGAAAGTGGGGGAGCGACAGTAGGCTTAACTTGTACGTGACAGGATGGTGTGGGAAACAGTAAATCTTATTTCCAAGAACATGCATTTCTTTTTGAAAACTCACGGGAATTTGCCGATACCCTTAGCTGTAGACTTAGGTCCACCCTTGGCACGTAAGCTGCCCAAACAGCGCGTATTTCAGAAGCCCGGCCAAGGTCGACCCACTCGCCCTTCCGGGGAGCCTGCACCACCTCCTGCTCTGCAAGTGGCTTTGTTCTGCTCCTGTTTGTGTTGCTAATCCTCCTGGACTTTGTGCCTATTTGATCACTGTAGGAGGGAGAGTGGAGCAGAATTCACGCCTAGATCTAAGACCTTTTAGGTTTTCCCTGAAAACGTTTAGAAAAGGATGAAGAATGTGTCTTAGCATCCTTGAAAGGCCAGTAGAATATGTACCGTATCAGGAGAAACAAACGTTTGTTTCCCCTCTTATGGTTTAATGTTTGTTAAGCATGAGGTTCCTACCTCCTTAAAGGTACTTGAGAGAAAACAGCATAGAGGCTGGTGAAATGGGGTAAGAAATGGGTAGGTTATTTTTTATTAAGTTTTAGAAGTTTGCCTAATTTTAAGAAATGGTTGTAAAAGTAAGTAAACACTACACCGTTCAGATGAAAGCTACTAGTCAACAAGGCTTACTAAAAACCTGGAAACCTGAATCATCTGTGATTGCTCATTTAGAGTACCCAGGAGAGAAAGAAAAAGTTCTAAGGCTTTCCAGGTAGCCAATATAAAGTCAAAAGGCAAATATCTTCCTTGGCCAAGAATTAAAAGGCAATTTTTTGCGGGGGAAGAGACAGGTCTCCTTTAAAAGGCTCAATATGCATATCAACTCACCTTTAGTAAACTGACAGTATAAAAAAACGCATTAAAGATTCTACGACTAGTTTGAAATTTGGACAGGGATTAGATGAATGTCTTACTAGCTAGTGCAAACTAACAATCTGCACAAGAACGCGTCAGGAGTGAGAACAGTACGGTATTTTTAATTAATTTTTAATTTTTTTAATTGTTAAAAGCATTCACACATTAAAAGTTATGATGGTTCTGAGAGATTTGCTAAGGCACAATCTCCATGAAACTAACTCCCCTGTTAAACACTTCCTTTAGAATATCTTAATGTTCAATTCTAACTAAACCTTGCCTCTTCCTTTTCCTTTCCTTCTCCCAGCATGGATTAAATTCTGCATCAAATGAAATTATTTTCATTTTTACTAACTCACTAAAAGCACCATGGGGTATACAATTAGACATTTTTTAAAGAACTTAAGCAAATCTGCTTTCCCGGTAATTGCACAGCACAAGAAAATTAAGGAAAATGAGAACATAAGGGCGAGTATGAAGTCTTGGTACTAGAGTATATTTCACTCATTGCAAATAACACAAATGAGGGAGGGGGACACAAAATTTAAGAATGTGTTGAAAGCCAGGTGTGGTTGCGCATGCCTGTAATCCCAGCACTCGGGAGGCTGCGGCAGGATTGCTGTGAGTTTGAGACCAGCCTGGGCTACATAATGAGCTCCAGGGTCAGAGGCCCTGTCTCAAAAAACCAAAAAAAGACAATGTGTTGATAGGAATAACCAGATTTTCTTTTTCTCCAGATTTCCCCAAGATCTGATGGAGTCAAAAGCCACTTTTTGCTTTGTGAGTTATTTTTGTTTATAAATACCATCAGGAATTCGTGTGAAAACAAATCTTGCTTACTCATCAGTCATGTCCTCATACTAAGTAGTCCTTATGAATGAGGACTAGGAATTTAATATTTTAGTTCCTCGAGAAGGGCAAAAGTGGTGGAAGTTGGGCAGGGGAGGCAGGGCAAAGGGACTGGCAATTGGCAATTGGGGAGCAGAGTACCAGTACAGGTAAATCCAAAGTGGCAGAAATGGCATAGTTGGCATTTTGGTTTCCCAAGCAGAATTTCTTCCATGCTTACCTCATTTTAAACACCTATTTTTACCACCCTTTTCACCAGGTAAGTGATTTACAAGTTGTCCTTGTAGAAAGCCGCTAGGTTTCTTTAAATATCCTGTTTTAGAACTGAAAGTCTCCCCTTTAGTTGAAGGATTTCCTTTGTCCTTCATTTAAGTTTGCAAATACTCTAAATAGAATAATGTTCCACAAATGAGCATATTTTTTTTCATTAACAAAAAAGTATGTGCCAGACCTAACCATGGCCCAGCTTAGGGGATTAACTAAGGACTCCTTTAGCTACCTTTCAGTCCCCCCTGGCAGTACTGTGGCTCCAAAGTGGGGTCTCCATATACTTTACCCCTGAGCTATGTCCCAGCTAACCGCCAAATGCAGCCCTTAAAATCAAGCAGTAACAATTATGTGCATACCCAGGTGTTTTAGACCCCTAGCAAATGTGTGAAAATGTATGGTGTTAGGCTGAATATGGGGTGGTGAACTGGAACATTCTTTGAAGTCAAAGGGGAAATGTTAACTGGTAAGTTAAACTGGAACAATCCCCAACAAACCCACAGAATTGTAACTTAAATCTTAGAAAATTCTGTACTTGGTAGTTTACACCCCAGCTTTCCTTGGCCTCTCAAATCCTGTACTCCCTTCTCCCCACCACTAAGTCTTTGAGGTTCCATTTTCTTTATCTTAATGCTTTGCCCACATGGTAGATAAGGCAATAATTCTTATTAGAGACCTTATACTGGACTCGTTTCTTCAGGTTATGTGGATATGGATAAAGCAATGTAAAGAATAATTTTACTTTCTGCAAAAACATTAATGATCACATAACCACATACTCACTTGAAATAAAGGAAACAAAATTAAGCAACCACATATTCATTTGAAACAAGCATCCAAGCTGGCTTAATTTGTAAACCCTGCAATTTCATACCACAGATGAAAACGATATTGTATGCAGAAACTGAGGTTATGTTTTGCTTTACAATGTTTTCAGGAAAAAAAAACTAGGTCAGTGGAATCTCAAAAAAAAATACAGCAGCAGTGGAATGAAGAAATGCAAGATTTTTTTTTCTATTCATGTCAATTAAATTGGATGGAGTATTCTCATGCAATACATCCAATACATAAAAATGAAAAACCCTTTCAGTAGCCAGAGGCATCCACTAGCTTCCACATCAGTTAGATATCTGATAAAAACTTTTTAAAAAGTCACAATATATTGATTGGGTACTTAGGGTATATATTAAACACAATTATATATTAGCATCTAAATATACCCATTAACTTTTTTTTTTGTACGGGGATCAAACTCCAGACCTTGCACTTGTGACTGAGCTACATCCCAGTCCTAAGTCATTTGTTTTTAAATAGATCTCTGCTATGACAATGTTTGCTTCTGTAAACTTTAGACCGTGTTTCCTGAAACCTAACTACATGCAAAACACTCAATTGTTAGGACACTTTAATAGTTATAGTGTCAGTAGGAAGGAACTCCTTTGTATTTTCTTATCAAGTACCCTTTTAGTTGTAGTGTACAGTAGCGAGTTCCTTCAATGTTTTAGTTTGTATTCAATGCCTATGTATAAGATACCACCTGATACACTGCATTCAAATATAAAGAATTATTAGTCATTCCAAATCAAAGTGTCATAACACTTGGAAAAAGCACATGGAGCAGTCAAAATGACTTGGGGTATGTAGAAACCCTTAACAAATACAATAAAGGGAGCTACCTATGGGATGACACTCCTTTAGGAAGGATTCAGTTCACGTATTGCTAAGGCAGTAATTCATTCCAAAGCCTGTGTCAGCACCTCTATATTTGCATTTGAATTGTTCTGAGTTTAGCTATTTGTTACTAAAGTCACTTTCACAATTTTAGCCTCTGTTGTTGCAATTGTCTGATTATATGAAATTTTAGTGCCATCGAGGAAAGATGTTAGGACTGTGGGGCTAAACACGAGCCTACGTAAATGGAAAGCAATTTACATCTAAAGTAGTCATTTTAAGGGTGGTGATGTGGAGGAAACCAGGAAGACCTGTCTCAACAAAAGGGATCCTGACTGTTCAAAATCTAGTTTTGGAGTTTCTGGCACAGAATTGCCAAATAACCACTGCTTTCAACAGAGAACTGCAAGGGTTCCTCCCTTCCCTTGCACCACCAGTATTGTGACCTTGGAACAAAGGAATTTCTAATTTTGGATTTCATCATCTATAATATGATAGGGCCAGAGATGTAACTCAGTGGTTCCGGCACCTGCTTTGCAAGCTCAAGGACCGGAGTTCAACCCCCAGTACCCCACCCCCGCAAAAGGTGATAACAATCCACATCAAAAAAAAGTTGGAAGATTAACAGAAAAATAGGAAAGCTCTTAGTCGCCTTCTGGGCAAGTAAGACGCTGATATAAACAGAAGGTGTCTTTAATCTGTAGGAAAACATTGAGACTTGTTTATCCTTAGCTGAAAACAGAATGGAACTTCATCTGCCCTGATCCCAAGCTTAGACACATTTTATGTTCAAAAGCAGCCCCTATCTCTCAATCATATATATATAATTCATATATATAAAATTGTATTACTTTTGAAGCCTAGCTACCAATTCTTACAACCCATCCTTTTCTTGACAATGAAGCATACCATGGAAGTCTTATTATAGCTAACTTATGATAGTCACATCCTTCAATTACTTTTAACTTTCTTAAAAACTTAACTTTTGATAAGAAAAAGCAGCATGAAATATTTCCCAACTTGGCAGATGTAATCGGATCACTCAACAACACAAGGAAATGTTCCTATTAATTTAGGATGTAAAAATATTTGAGACTTCCGTTGACAGGTGTACCTATCTCTGCAAATGAGCAAATTCTGGGAGGTAGAAAATAGCATGCAGTGTATAAAATGAAAGCAAACTATACCACTTTCTGAAAGTGACCCCCTTTACTGAAGAACAATATTAGACATCAATTTCTTATTTACATAAAAACTCCAACCCCAGAAGCTACTGATAGGATAATCACAAAGTTAACCAGGAAAAATAATCCCTTGACCCAACGAAAGCCTTTTTATAATGCATCCCCGTGAGGGATCAAACAGCTGAAATGTTTATTTAGCACTAGAGAAATAATTTCAAAGTTGCCCATAAGTAGTAGCCATTTACAATAAAGGATTTAGAAGACAGTCTAGTTGATAAAATATACTTACATATTTTTTTCTTAGGTAAAAGCAGCAACCAGTAATAATTCATTTTTTATGGGACAATTACTATTATTTTCTTTCCTCAGTGACAAGCTGAAAATGACCCAGAGTCCAATCAGCTTTATCTATAGAAGAAACAATGCTAGAAGTTTTCCAAACCAGCACCACTGACAAAGGCAATAATTAAAAAGGGTACTTTTTTTTTTTTTTTGGTACCAGGGATCAAACTTGGTACCTTGGACTTGCAGCGGAACCCCTGAGCTAAATCCCTGGCCTCTAAAAAGGGTCTTGACAGGAACATAAAGTGCTCTCTAGAGAGCTCTGCCTCATCAGCCCCTTTCTTTGTGTGCACCGTCAGTACCCTCCCTGATGTCTGGTCCATGCTGCCATGTCTGCCTGCTGTTCCTTCTGATGTCAAGTGTGCTTCATTACAAAGCTATGCTTTGAAATTCTGAAGGAAGAGGGGGGAAAAAACAGAAGGAAAAACAAAGCTACATTTTTTCCAATAAATATATGAAACCACAAGCTTTCTTGTGTTGAAATTAACATTTTTGTATGAGAAACACCTTGTAATAAATGTATTCAATAAATTGAGAAACTATTAGCAGAAAACTAAAAACAATTTATAGCTCCCCTTTACAATACCATTTCTACAAGACTGCTTTACCAGTACCATGTTCCAGCACATACAAATTAAGCTGGGATCTAACTTTAATCAATTCTAATATTTATACTTAAAAAATCATTTTATTATAAAAACAAAAAGTTTAGTTCAGATCTAAAGGTTCATGAACTTCTAGGACCAGGAGCAAGAGAAATTCTTTTGTTTTAGACAAAATAGATCACACCAGTTAAGTGGACTTTGTTTTAATTCATTCATTGAGATACCTGTAATTGTCAGCAAAAATTCCCATTGTATGCTACTCTTACTAATGTGAGAAGACAACTTAATGTGCTTTATAGTTTTATCCATTTAAATTGATTTATAAAATAAAAAAATTTAACTAATAGAAGGTACATAATTTAAAACATTCTATAGAAATGACGTTACCAGTAATTTACAATTTAAAAAAAAAGCCACAAAAAAAGTCAAAGCTAAAAACAAGATTTTTACTATGAATCAGTGCTCTATTACCTTCCTGAAAGAAGTTATATTTTAATGTGATGTAAAGGCAACATTGAAAGTTCTTTAAATTAACCACCTAATTTATCCCTAAAATTACAAAGAATCAAAGTCTTTTACAGGTCAAGTGCAGTAAACTAAAATGTTCTCTCAGCACAAAGCAGCACTAGAAAAAGTAACAGTATGGAGCTGACAAGTTCTGCAGTGGCTGCTCCACCAGTAACAATAAACATCAGACGGTATCCATCCGAGCACAGACACAACTAGACTGGAGGCGAAGAAAGCATCACACTCCTGGCTGATAAATGTCCTTTGTCTTTGAATCTTTCTACTTTGAATGAAGTGGATTTTTTTTAGCAGCAACCAGTAATAATTCATTTTTTATGGGACAATTACTATTATTTTCTTTCCTCAGTGACAAGCTGAAAATGACCCAGAGTCCAATCAGCTTTATCTATAGAAGAAACAATGCTAGAAGTTTTCCAAACCAGCACCACTGACAAAGGCAATAATTAAAAAGGGTACTTTTTTTTTTTTTTTGGTACCAGGGATCAAACTTGGTACCTTGGACTTGCAGCGGAACCCCTGAGCTAAATCCCTGGCCTCTAAAAAGGGTCTTGACAGGAACATAAAGTGCTCTCTAGAGAGCTCTGCCTCATCAGCCCCTTTCTTTGTGTGCACCGTCAGTACCCTCCCTGATGTCTGGTCCATGCTGCCATGTCTGCCTGCTGTTCCTTCTGATGTCAAGTGTGCTTCATTACAAAGCTATGCTTTGAAATTCTGAAGGAAGAGGGGGGAAAAAACAGAAGGAAAAACAAAGCTACATTTTTTCCAATAAATATATGAAACCACAAGCTTTCTTGTGTTGAAATTAACATTTTTGTATGAGAAACACCTTGTAATAAATGTATTCAATAAATTGAGAAACTATTAGCAGAAAACTAAAAACAATTTATAGCTCCCCTTTACAATACCATTTCTACAAGACTGCTTTACCAGTACCATGTTCCAGCACATACAAATTAAGCTGGGATCTAACTTTAATCAATTCTAATATTTATACTTAAAAAATCATTTTATTATAAAAACAAAAAGTTTAGTTCAGATCTAAAGGTTCATGAACTTCTAGGACCAGGAGCAAGAGAAATTCTTTTGTTTTAGACAAAATAGATCACACCAGTTAAGTGGACTTTGTTTTAATTCATTCATTGAGATACCTGTAATTGTCAGCAAAAATTCCCATTGTATGCTACTCTTACTAATGTGAGAAGACAACTTAATGTGCTTTATAGTTTTATCCATTTAAATTGATTTATAAAATAAAAAAATTTAACTAATAGAAGGTACATAATTTAAAACATTCTATAGAAATGACGTTACCAGTAATTTACAATTTAAAAAAAAAGCCACAAAAAAAGTCAAAGCTAAAAACAAGATTTTTACTATGAATCAGTGCTCTATTACCTTCCTGAAAGAAGTTATATTTTAATGTGATGTAAAGGCAACATTGAAAGTTCTTTAAATTAACCACCTAATTTATCCCTAAAATTACAAAGAATCAAAGTCTTTTACAGGTCAAGTGCAGTAAACTAAAATGTTCTCTCAGCACAAAGCAGCACTAGAAAAAGTAACAGTATGGAGCTGACAAGTTCTGCAGTGGCTGCTCCACCAGTAACAATAAACATCAGACGGTATCCATCCGAGCACAGACACAACTAGACTGGAGGCGAAGAAAGCATCACACTCCTGGCTGATAAATGTCCTTTGTCTTTGAATCTTTCTACTTTGAATGAAGTGGATTTTTTTTTTAGAAGTTTAATCAGGTCACATAAGTTGGCTGCTTAAATATCATGATGAGGTATGAAAGCTCTGAAAATCCCTTACACTCAGCAGGATTTACCAGAGATGAATAACAGCTTGTCAGGGGCAATTCCAGATAGTTTTTACACTTTGGGATTATAATGATTCTAGAAGAATATAAGTTCTAAGGAGGTTTAAAAGGATACGCTCTGAAACAAAAGTGAGCAACTTTTCCTTTAGAATTCATTTTGAACAGATCATCAAAAAATCTTCTCTGACAGTATATCCCAACATTGAATCATGATGGCCAACTAGCACCAAAAGGTCATATTGAACTCATTTGCAGTTCTCTTGGCAATTAAGCTTATTTTTTCAGTCCAGTCCAAGTACAAATGTAGATCAGTGAACAGAGTACTGGAAGCGCCATTTACAGGTAGAGATTGCAGTCATCATTAAACGAGCCAGAAGGTGGACTCTGGTTTTACTGGGAGTGGGCTAGGGTACCAGCATATGAAAAAAACACTGAGGGAATAATGAGGTTATTAAAGAAAGATCACTGCTCTTATTTGGGATAAGCAGGTCATGCTGAGATTTTTTTAAGATAAGGATGCTACATTACAGGGATCATGTAGCATAACTATATTAGAATCAAGCTGCAACTAAAAGGAATAAAAACCAGTAAGTAACCTTTAAAAGTGTTATCTGCCAGCCACAGAAGGGAAAAGTACCCACAGTAAACACCAATTTACTGAGGACCTTGATCAGGACCATAAAGCCTGAAACTTTTTTGGTACTGGGGATCGAACTCAGGACCTTGCGATTGTGAGACAGGCATGGTGCCACTGAGCTAAATCTCCAGCCCAGCCTGAAACATTTTTTTTGTATTGCAGAAACACAGCCTCTAGTCACACTGGTTGAGTATAGGAAAACTGAAGGGTTGTTTTCTTACTTTTCTAGGATATGTGTTTTGATTACTAAAGACTCTAAATCTTCATACTAGCAATGGAACTGAACCACTTCCAAATCCTAAAACATGTAAGACCAAAGAGAAGCAAAAGCCATACACATTAATATGTGCTCCTCTCCTTTCTGCTTTTAAGGAATCTGCAAACCAGTATTATATTTAAGAGTCAAAGTGTTAATTCTTCAGCATTCCTGACAACTAGAAAGCACATTCACTGAAGGCTGAAGGTGAGGACTGGATGGTTTAACTTTTAACATCTGAAGAATGGTACCGATAGAGAAGAGAAAACCACCCAATCTCAGTAAGGATTAATGCAAATTTGGCTAGAAAAAGCCACCAGGTAATCCAAGGGTTCACTGTGGAAGAACTCAAAAAAGTACTCTGAAGTACACACAACAGGTCTAAATATCTCCCTTGTTGCAAGTAGTTACATGAAATTCAAGATGAAGGTTTAGTTTTATCTTTTAATGTCAGTATTTTTCCCCCACTTTAAAGGGAATGAGGAGGAGTCCTCTTTTTTCCCCCACAAAAAAGGGAGCCACATTAGTGTACATTCCCGTGACTCTAACGTAAGTGCGGATCTCCAAAGCCTACGGATTTTTCTGTAAGAGTGGGCCATTCTGGTTACCCTTTTATTACAAGGGTATTCCACCACAGAGAGCCAGAGGTTTTCCAGATGTGTAAGAGAGCAGGTGCGCAAGGCAAGCAAATGAGCGCAAACAGTATTATGGAAAACATTCGAGAAGTTAGCTCCATGAGGACTGTAGGCTCCACAAGAGAACTCGACTGGGTAGCCTGGTCTGACACAGGAACACAAAAGCAGAGTATCGCTTCAAAGCTGGAAACCTTCCATAGGAGCCTCACACTGCTGGAAGATGTACTGCTGCTGGCTAAGGTCAACCTGGGGAGCAATATTGCTGTCTTCATCTTCGGTCCCAAAATAGTGCTCAATAAGATCAAAGGCCTTCTGGTAGATCTCCTGGTTTTCATGACTCTGTAGGAACTCAATTTTATCCAGACCTAGAATGAAGAATAAAGGAAAAATTTTATTGGAGAGTCTCAAACAATATTATCACAGGTCCCTTCCTTGATGTAAACAAAGCTTCTGTATTTGTAATAATATAAAAATGACTTCTAGAATTGTATCTGAAAAATAGTATAGTGGTACCTCAGTTCACGAACTTAATCAGTTCTACAATTCTGGAAAAGATGGCCAGATTTGTGTTCCTACAGGATATCGCCCAATGCAGAGATCACAAACAAAAACAAAATTCTGCCAAATGCTGTTGTTTGCAAGCCTAACTGTTCCCACACAAAAGCATTTGTGAACCCAAATACCACTATATTATAAGGTGACATTTTAAATACATATGAAAGAACATCCAGTCCACAGAAGCAGCAATTTCCACAACAGCTGCACATCATCCACTGTCCATCATGTTTTACTGGACAGTACCTATGGCCTAATTCATTCTTGGCCAGAAATAAGCCTCTTTAGTCAAAGCATCTTACCATAAGCTTCTTCAATCAAAGCACAGTAAGGGTTAATGCCACTGCCATTTCTTTTGGCTTCTTGTTCTCCAAGCCTCAAGATATTTTCCAAGCCATTTAATGCAACCTGTACAATCTTAGAGTCCATGACAGTGAGAAGATCACAGAGCGGCTTGATGCAACCCAGTTCTACTAGGTACCTAAATTAATACAGAAAACAATTTAGTCAGATGGATTTCATTATGTATAACTTTTATGAAACTGGTAAAGTCATTAAATTCACTGTAGAGAGAAAAACAGATACCCAGTAACTATACAAATTATACTTTATTATAAAAAGCTACAAAAACTTACAACCAATTCTCTAATAATATCTTCATTCTTTTTTCCCTTCACAATTTTTTGATTATAAAAAATGGGAATTCTTTCCCACTCTGAATATAAATAATTCCTGTACTTCGGCTAGATTGTCATTTTTGTATCAATAGGAAGCCACCCTTCTAAAAGGTCTCCTAAAAGCCAGCACCAGTTCAAGAGGTAAAATCTTTAGAATGTGATTAGAATTTTACTAAAATAACTTGTAAGAAACCTATAAGACAAATACAAGGAAGACTCTAGAGCTAGTATTTTTTCTTTTAATTCAGATAAGAGTTTAACATGCAATCAAGATTTATTATAATCAAATCAACACACAAGATACAACATTCTCAGCAGATACTCATGCCGTTTTGTATCATTTTAGTTTCTCAAGCTGTGTATGGAAAGACAGAGATAATCCAAGTGCATGCTATGGACGTGAATGTTTTGGAACTTACTAAAGTAGCCTTCATCTACTACTCTTTCCATGGTGCTATTTAAGACGTTCACAACAGGGCTGAACATACCATCAGGGGCATGTACCAGATGGGACAGTCATACATATACTATTGGTGTTTCAAATTGGCAGAAATGTATTTTAAAAAAACAAGTAAAAATGACCAGGTAGAGAAGATTTTTATCTTCTAAATCCAAACAAGAGTACTGTGGACCTTTTCTGAATTAAGAACCCAATTCATTCACAAGGGGTGGCTGCAACTCAAACAGGTCAGCTGACGGCTCAGGCTCCTATAACACAGCCTTCAAAGTTTCTCCCTTGTATATATATAGGAGGCAGATCTCAGTGTCCTTAGAGACACTAGCTGATGTTGTAATGTTCCTTCAGAACTCTTTGAGGATTAAATCTGTATCTGAGACCATCGGGAAGTACCAGTGGCCAGCATTTGGGTTGTAATTCAAGACTCTGGTCATAAAATTCCAAGGCCGGGGATTTGGCTCAGTAGTTCCACCACCTGCCTCACAAGCACAAGATCCAGAGTTTGATCCCCAGTACCGCTCCGCGCAAAAAAAGAGTTTAAAAAAAAATTCCAGTCATAACCCAAGTTGTTTGTATGTCAAGCCAGTCATAAATGAAGGGTCCACTGTACTGTTAAAATAAGCATTTACTGAATGCCTAAATCTGACCCACAAAGCAACATTGTAAGAAGTAGCTATGATTATCAGATTTCTTTCCCCCAGTACTGGAGAATCAAACTCAGGACCCTGTACTTGCAAGGCAGGTGCAATACTACTGAGCTAAATCTCCGGCCCCATATCAGATGTTAGATTATGAAGAAGGGGTTAGTGCTTCCACTCTTTGGAACCTTTTTCTCATCTATTTTCCCAATGAGTAAAATTAATTAGTAAAACTAACAGCTGAGTGCCTAATTTAATTAATTAGTAAAATTAATAGCTGAGTGTCTAAGTTCCATTTTTTTCTTCACCATTACTTTTTTTCTACTGACAATACTAGATGTCAACCCGGGTGTGGTGGCAAATGCCTGTAATCCCAGCACTCGAGAGACTGGGGTAGAAGGATGTTTCAAATAGACTGAAACTACCTGTTAAGTATTTCTATTGCATGAAATAACAATTACTTTCAGCCAAAAGAAATGACAGGTGTAAGAGTTAAATGTACAGGAGACTAATTATGATGCTGAGAACAATCTTACAAAGGATAGAATTAAGCACTCTTAGTAAATAAGATCATCTCCCCCCTTACTCCTCAAATATAACTTTTCATTGTAGGTACTACAAGGGCTGTAAACACAGCAATAACTTTTCCTTTAATTTATAAGATGTCACCCAATGAGGACTTACTTAATTTGTTCAGCTGACCCTCCAGATGTTGCATTTGTGATGGCCCAAGCAGCTTCTTTTCTTGTTCGAAACTCAGCAGTTTGTAATATACTAATGAGGGCTGGGAAAATGTTCGCATCTATCACAGTCTGAAATTAAAGAAAAATTAAAATGGAGTCAAATTTAAAGGAAACCAGAAGATTAGTAAAAATTATCCCTAATACTATGTGATGACTGCTCTCGATTGTGACAAAGTGACTGGCTTAGCATCCACCAAGGGGACTCATGGACATACTTATGAGTGTGAGTGTGTGGGTCACGGAAGCGTGATCCTGGGATATCTGCCCTGCATCCCAGCCACCATGAACTAAGCAGCTTCGCTCTGCCACACCTTTTAGCCATATTTCTGCCTTGGAGCCAAAAACACTGAATGCCCTTGAAATAGGAGCCAAAGTAAACCACTCTTTAAGTTGTGGGTATCCAGTATTGTGTCCAGCAATGGGAAGACTCAGCAATACAAACTAATTATAACTTTTAAACTAGTTTCACTAATTACACCTATCCCGTTAAAAATAAAACTGAAAATAAAGTCTTCATTATTCTTAACTTTTAGCCCATAGTATTTGAGGCTATACAGTGCCACAGAAAACATCCTCAAATGAGTCTGTGTTCTTAAAATCTAATTTTCTCCCTGAGGTTTTTCTTTCTTGTCCTCACTTTTTTTATCCCCAGTTAACAGTCATACAAGTTCAATTCTGTTCCTTTACTATTCTCATTTCTGTCATTGCATGCATTCTCCCACGTGAGCTGTAACCACCTCTCCAGGTCTCTTTTCACCAACACTCCAGCCTGAAGTACTCCACAGCTTACGTTAGGTCTGCTACTCGTCTCAGACACGTGATTTCTCCTATACAGCAGGTATCCCTTTAAGTATTTCTACAAAGTTTGGTTTTTATCTAGTCATTCTAAATTCAGTCTCCTTATCACTCTCAGCTGAACATATCCAGAGCTCACCTCTTCCTGTCCTTTAAGATCACTGCCACTACCCTTAGATTACCAAGTATGCCATTATTAATTGGACTGATTACATTTACTCTGCCTTTTTCATATTATCATTAAAGTAGCCTTCCTAAATTACTTTCTTCATGTTTCACGTTGGCTCAGGAATGTAAAATGGGGTCAATAAAATTTCCTGTATCAGGCCGGGGATTTAGCTCAGTGGTGCCACCGCTTGCCTCACAAGTGCACGGACCAGAATTAGATCCCCCGTACCAAAAAAAAAAAAATAATAATCCTGTATCAGGAAACTGAGAAGTTCTACCTATCCTAGAGATGACAGGCAATCAACTAGAGCTGAAATCTTATATTCATATTACAAACTGCTATGGCTATGAACTCAGTCCCTAAATCAGTTTTCTGAGCAAGATAAACCAGGCTCTACAGGCCAAGAACTCTTTATGCTGTATCAGTGAATGATGTCTGTCAAAAGTTTAGCAAAAGACACCTAATATTGGTCCTGTCATTCACTTAGAGGTGTCCTTAAGGAAACTTTTATTTCCCTGAACCTCTGTTTCATTTTTTAAAATTTTTATTCCTGCTGTTAAATAGTAATTATATATTTACAGAATAATTATATATTTACAGACTAGACTATGATGCTTTGATATACATGGTGGGCAATGAGAATGTAAGATTAGATGGCCTTTATGATTCCACTTAGCTCCAAGTCTCCTGAAGTCTAAATACTATCTTTTCCAAGCTGCTGTTCAATCTCAATCATAGCTTATACTGAACATGCTGGCCTACTGCTTGTATTCTACGTAATTACTCTCCCACTGACAGAAAGGCAAAAAGTAAATGGTACATAACCATTTAAAGAAAAACAGGTCTCCAGACTTCATGAAAAACTGAAATAATTTAACCAAGACCTGTCATGTAAAGATACAAGATCCCAATAATAAATGTAACTGTACTGTATACCTAGTACCTAGTAAATACAAGATCCCAATAATAAATGTAACTGTACTGTATACCTAGTACCAATAAACTCAATGAGAAAAAAAAAGATTTTAAAAAACCTGAAATAATTTAATATGTGGGGGGGTCCAGTAGAAAGCAAATATTTTACTTGGAAAGAGTAAAGCCAATCTGCTTAGCATGAAGTCTATCAAAACATTTAAAAATACAAAATACTTATTCTTGGATCTTGCATACATCATCAAATACTGAAGGCACAGAGAAAAAAACAAGACCTAAGTAAAAATTGGGAATATTTAAAATCTGTAAGCTAGAAAAAAAATGACTATGAAACACCATAGGAAGTTAGTGCTTTTCAAAGCAATAATAAAAACTTTATTTTAAAGGCAGAATGAAAAAATCTTATCAATTACTAAAAGCACAAAAAGGAAGGCTGTGCTATGAGATTACCTGGATCTGTGCCCTATTTCCAGCTGTGATGTTGGATATTGTCCAGCATGCTTCCTTTTTGATAGATTCTTTAGGGCTACTCAGCAAATGCAATAAACTCTGAAGAGCTGAGCAATTCAAAATTACCTAAAAGGAAAAGTTTTAAAGTTTTACTTACTATGTTATTCCAAATATAAATAAATCTTTCCTCAAGTAACTTATTTTAGGAAATATATAGACATTGTCCCTTGAAATTTTATGAGTAAGTTCCTTTACATATATAAAAGAAGTGTTCACTCCTGTTAAGAATTTCTGATTATCAAATAAATTTCATTACATATATTCCCAACTACTAAAACTATTTAAAATACAATGTTAATAATTACAATAAAACTATTCATTCATATTCCTGTCCCTACAGCTGAAATTTCTGTATGGGTAAATATATCAACTGACTAAAAAACCAGTAGTAGTCTTCCTTTGGTAACTCTCTACCTTCCACTCAAAAATCAATATATACTAGAGGCCAGGGATTTAGCTCAGTGGTTCTGCCGCCTGCCTTTCAAGCGCATGGTCCTCAGTTTGATCCCCAGTACCAAAAAAGAAGAAAAAAATCAATATATACTTAATGAAGTATGCTTAATGAAATATATCATGTGCTCTATAGGATATAGAAAAAAAAAAATGACCCTAGCTATCAAAGAGATACAAAGATAAGACAAATTATACATGGGAAAGAGGCCTACTATACCAGAAATTAAATTATAAAGTTAAAATGCTTGTATCATATGGTTGCCAGGTATATGGCTCATGCCTCCCGTCCCAGAACTTGGGAAGCTGAGGTAGGAGGATTGCTGCGAGTTCAGGGCCAGCCTGAGCTACATAGTGAGCTCAAGGCCAGCCTGAAATACAAAGTGAGACTTTGTCTCAAAAAAAAAAGGAAGAAAAATTATATAGCAATAATCAGTTACTAAGCAAGGAAATTAATATCTAATTCAGAAACAAATGCAGGCATTTATAAAGAATTATGCACAAAACTTAATCCTTCCTTTCCACCAATGCCTGGAGTTTTATTCAACAGAATAAGAGTAGGGGGATGGTCAGAAAACAGGTTTTTTAAATTAATTCTCAACCTCAGCAACCAACTGGAAAATAAAGGTAAAACAAAACAAAACAAAACAAAAAGCCACATAAAACAAGAGATTACCAGTAAATAGTTAAGCTGAGGAAAATGAAAGCCCATCCAAGCATATAACAAAGGATAGGAAGAAATAAAATTTCACCAAATAAAAATTGTTTCATGTCAAAAATCTTTAAAAAATTTTTAAGCACCACACAACGTGAAGTGATTTGTGAAAGAGTTGATCCCTGTATTATATAAATGAAAAAAACTAAAATTTTCATAGAAAATTATCTCACAATGAAATGAAAATTAAAATGAGGCCATCTGCTGCCTATAAATTACATCTCCCTAAATAATGTAACTTTTAGTTAAATAGATCTTTATAAAAGTAATCTGATCAATATCAACTAGCATCTAAAAATCCACAAACTGACACAATTCTACGTCTAGGATATTTACCTAGAGGAAATCATAAAGCTTATAACTGAATGCTAAGTGAATACCAAGAATAGAGCAGTACATAAAATGGCATGTACATAAAATGTATCTCCAGATTATGCAGTTATGGGCAACTTTTATATTCCTTACATTTTTCTGTTTATTAAATTTCTATAATGAAAAAATATTACTTTCATACCCAGAGTCCAAACAAACCCAAAAAACAAGCAACAGTATAAGAGATGTAGTGAAGTAATTTTAAAAATGCCAACAAAGAGGTCTACAAAGTAAATATGTCAGAAATTAAAGAGACTACCTGGAGAAGAGTAGTCAAACAAACAAAAAAATTAATAGCTTCATAGAGTGGACCTTGAAATGCAGATCAGATTTTTTAAAAGGATGAGGACATTGTACGTAAAGGCTGGAAATTGAAAAAATTCAGAGACAGGCTACTACAAAGTACCATAAGAACAAAAGATTATGAAGGAAGGCTCCTATACCCCTAAAAATCAATAGGCTAGAAAGAATAACAGCAAAATCTTAAAGTAGAAATTCCTTACAATTGTTCAAGGTTCTTACCTCAGACACTAAAGCAGCTCACTTTTTTTCTAAAGGAAATTAATGTGAAAAAGATTAAGCTATTATCACAGGGAATAAACTGAGGAGTATTTGCTTTGAAAAGTAGGGAGCTAAATTGGGTGAATAAAATACAAGGAGCAAAATAAAGTAATCCTATCTGTGGGTCTAACAACAATAAGATCAACAAGGTGTAGTGACATGCTATACAAAGGAGACACCAAAAATGAATACAAAATTTCAAGTATATAGGAAAAAATCAAGACTTCGGGGCTTGCTCTGTAGAGAGAAGTTAATGTGAGACAAATGTGAAACATGCAAATAGAAACATTCAACGGGCTATTGCAGAGACAGGGGACTCAACTTGAGAGAGGTCAGAACTTTATGTACAGATTCAGAACTTCATTCCATTCAATAAATATCTTCTGAGTCCCTAAACATTGTGCCAGGAATTAACAGACTGTAGGAACAGAAACACAAAAATGAACAAATCTGACTCAGACTACCTCTAGAATTTTATAACCTAGAACCTGACAGTTACAACAAACAGTATGATTAGGGTGCTGACAAAAAGGAGAACCTAACTTTTGAGCCTGGGGTCAAAGCTTCCCAGAGAAAATGTTAAAACTAAGATGTGAAAAATAAGCAAATATTACTGGCAGAATATGGTAAGGTGGGGAATGGAGGCAGGTAGTGCTCCATACATAAAGAAGAACGTATATGTTGAGGCTCAGAGCTGAGAGTGGTCATATCTAATCTAAGGAAAATACGACAAGAATATGGACCATGAGTGAAAGAAGGGAAATAAAAGAAACTTTTTCGTGTGTGCGGCTAGGGATCAAACCCGGGACCATGCTAGGCAAGCAGTCTTATCACTGAGCAGCACTTCCATCCTAGAATTTATCCCCACTTTTTTTCTCTAAAAATACACTAATATAGTTTAAAATTCAGGAAGCATAAAGCACTATATACTTAAGACTCTCCCATTCCTTCCCCCAAATAACCAATTTTCAACACAGATGATCAGTGTGTGTTATTTTCTCAGATATATCACACAAATACAATCCAACATTCAAGTTCTTGTCTAAAATGTCCAAACTAAGCACTGCAAGAGATAAGTAGATACAGAATAAAAGGACTCAATAAATGATAAGTTAGACAAAGGAGAAGAATCAAATACATGCCTGGGTTTCTGGTATGGGCAAACGGTGTGCTATTTACTGAGACTGGGGTAGCAGAGGTTCAGATACACAGGGGAAATGAGCCAAAGAGTTGTTCCTGAAGAATGCCATAAACAACAAAGAAAAAGGACCTTGCAAGGCGAAATGAATGGTCAATTAGGAAAAGAACCAAAATACTGCAGCATCACAGAAGCCTAGGGGGACAGTTTTACGGCATCACCATCAATGCAACTAGACATCTAGAGGAGAAAGAACTAGAATAATCCAGTGTAAATACATCTTGGTATCAAGTCACTATAGGACCCAAAGCTGGTACAAGTGTCAACAGAGTCACCAAATGAACTGAAAGTAGATGCCTATTGCTTCTGGGCCTTTTGGCTAAGATCAAAAGAAAGTAGATGCCTACAGTCAAAAGGAAAATTTATTTTTTGCAATGCTGAGGATTGAATTCAGGGCATTCTTTTTATTACATTTTATATTTTAAGACAAAGTCTTGCAAAGTTGCTCAAGCTGGGCTTGCATGGGAGATTCTCCTGACTCGGCCTCCCAGAGTACATTTTTAACAAACTGTAGTAAAACAAAGTGTTTACTGTTCCACTATGGAGCTAAATACTGTAACTGTAACAGAAACATGTTCATAGAGGGCCAGAGATTTAACTCAGTGGTACTGCTGCCTGCCTCGCAAGTGTAACGTCCAGAGTTCAATCCCCAATACCGCAAAAAAGGAGAAACATGTTCAGAGAATTCACTGTACTTAATGTTTTTTGAAAAAAAAAAAAAAAAGTAGTCACCACTAATTCTTACCTGTGTCTGAATATCATCCCCTGTGACAATGTTTCCCACAGCCCGCAAAGCAGGAGAAACCACTTTATAATCATTATGCCTACAACCATAAAAAGAAACGTTATAGCCAACAGTTCTATCTGTAGTCTCTTTCCTTTTCTGCTAAAATCCAAAAGATAGATATATATGATTAAGATTTTACATCAAAAAGACACCCATCTTGATTATTAGGGAAATCTCCCTCTGATGACAAAATGTTTGGTGTCCCCTAGAATACCTGTCTTCTTCCCTTTTTGTATTTTGGGTGGGAAATCATATCTTTCCTAGTAATCTTCCCCAGGTATTTTATCACCTGGACTCGAACCCCCCACCCATACTTTAATTTCCTCTTTATCTGATCTTCTGTGTTGCCGTGATAATGGAGGGCATTGAATTTAGACAACCCTTTTAAAATTACAGGACTGATTTTCACAGAGGTAAAACAGATGTCAACAGTTGGACTAATATGAAAATGAAAGAATTCACACTTCAAATGTTAAACTCTTTCCAGTAAACTACCAAGCTGCCTTATTCCAAAAAACCTTCCATAAAGACTTTATTTATATATTCAAGCACAGATACTAAATATTGGGTTCAGGGTATGTCATTCAGTATCTTTTAACTTTCCTTAAAGCGGCTATTTCTCTCCTTTAATGCTAATTCCTCTTCTTAAAACTGCTGACTTTTTCACATTTATTTTAAGATTTTTTTTTTTTTGGTACCAAGGATTGAACTCAGGTCCTTGCACTTGTAAGGCAGGAGCAGAACCACTGAGCTAAACCCCAGGTCCCTTATTTTAAGATTTAATGACTGAAAAGAAATGATTAAAATGTAATCTAGCAGCTAAGGATACAAAGAACTACTTTCCAGATTGTGAATGCTGAGCCCTGCAGCGTCCTGCTACCTTTAATCCACCACAGTTCTAGTGACTGATCTGCAAGCAGTTCAGAGCCAGCTGTATCTCAGCTGTGTTCTGTACACTGTACTTATCTAGTCCACTCCACACACATCTCAGGTATCTCTGTGCATCTACTTTTTACTTCCATTAAATTTCAAGTTGCTTGTAACTGTACTATTTCCCTTTTATCTTATTATTATTTTCTTCAACATGTTTTGTCAAAAACTTGATTATTAATCTCAAATTATTTGTCATGAGTAAATCTTCCACTCTACCAAGGCCATTACAAAGAGTAAGTATCTGATACTAGTCTAGATCAAGGTATAAAGGAGACAGGTAAGAAATGACTGTTTTGGTTTTGTTTTGCTTTCTTTTGGTGTTTTGAGACGGGGTGTTGCTAAGCAGTCAAGGCTGGCCTCCTGTGGGCTAGGATTACAGGCATGTACCACCACCCCCTGTAGCAATATGACTTTTCATGTCCATGGGTTGATTGTTGGTCATCTACTACGGGCTTGAATTACACAGATCAGTTTTCCCCCAGTGTTTGCACTGAAAGACTGCTTATGGCATAATAAGTTCTTTCTAAATCTCAAAAATCTAAACTTGCTGAGTGTGGTGATAACACATCTGTAACCCCAGCACTCAGGAGGCTGAGGCAGGACGACTGCTGAGGGATCAAGGCCTTAGTCCATACTAGTGAGTTTAAGGCCAGCCAGAACAGAAACCCTGTCTCAAAACCAAACCAAAGCAAAATATTTGAACTTAATATAAACAAGTAACAAAAGACAGTAGCAGTCCAAAGCACAATAGATCAGTAAGATGTTTGATCAACTAACATTTAAGTATTAGCAAGTGGGGAAAAATATAATGGAGAAAACAGACACACATTCTTAAAAGGTTATCTTACATCAGCAGCTCCACAAGTCTCCTACATACTCCTGCATCAATGACTGCTTGAATTTTATCATTGGGTCCATCTGATAGATACGAGAGGGCCCAGCAGGCATCAGCCAATACATCAGTGTCGTTGACAAAAAGCAACCAGGAAAGCACATTTAGACAAGGGGAAACCTGTAAAAAGAATATGGTGTGATTATAAAATTCAACAGAGGGGCCAGGGATTTAGCTCAGTGGCGCTGCAGCTGCCTCTCAAGCACAAGGTCCAGAGTTTGATCCCTGGTACCTAAACCAACCAACCAACCAACAAACAAAAAATTCAACAGCAAAAAAAAAAAAAAAGATGTGAGATGAGATACTCAAGGCAGCTACCAGGGAGACACTTGGTGGCGGCTTCTGGAGTGATTTAAACTTCTGGAGAGATACTATCAAGGACCTGTCCTGTCTGTCTTTGGGACTGCTGTCAGTAGTCTTACAGTTTACTTTGACAGAACCCAAGGAAAAAAATCTCAGGGAGCAAAGTTTCATACACACTGATCCTTGGAGATGTTCTGTTGTTGTTAAAACATTCTTAGTGGACCAAAGAGGTAAAGAAACCTTCACAAATGTCAAAGTTGGGAAATACAATACTGTATTATAAAGATTGCATTAGGAGCAAAAGCTGCTAAAGTTTTAAGTTGAATTTAGAGCCTTTTACTGGCAGTGAGATGGCCAAATTAAACAACACTCTTTCTCTAGAAATTGATAATACTAACACTCTCAATTATATCACAAACTATCTTTTGGCAAACAATATTCAGCCAGGTGTGGTGGCTCACACCTGTAACCCCAGCACTTGGTAAGCTGAGGCAGAAGGATCACTGTGAGTTTGAGGCCAGCCTGGGCTACACAGTTAAGTTCAAGGCCAGCATGAATAACATAGTGAGGCTCTGTCTCTAAAAACCAAAAATAAAACAAACAAAAATAATTAGTTACTACATGCTTTAACTGCACTTTTTTGTCAATTTCACACAAGCACAGTCCTTACCTTTGCAAATTCTGGAGGTGGACTTTTCCCTCTACAGAGATTAGACAGAGCCCACACTGCATTCCGGGTCATGGTCAGGCGGTTTTGCTTTGAAAATAACCTACAAGCATGAGGGTACAATAGTGAATTTTACAAGGATATTAATTCCCTGATGGCAAAAGATTAAAACTGTCCTTTATCCAGAACAGTACAACTTCATGAATTTTAATGTAACTACAGAATCTTGGCACTGAAGTATATAGGGTGCACAAATGATCTGTACAAATTAACAAGAAAATGTATGCAATAAAAACACTAGGAAATCCAAAATGATTTCCGAAATGTAATGCTTCCTGAGGAACTTTCCATGTTTTTGTGACTAAAAACAGAAACAGAAAATCCACCAAGAGAAGAACTTACTGCAAAAGAGGAGGAAGGATATTGCAGTCTAAGACATAGTCCCTGCACATGGTACTATCTCCAGCAATGTTGCCCAGAGCCCAGACTGCCTGTGAAAGAATTATTCATTAATGATAGATGTATACTTTAAGTTCCTCATAATTCTTTAAAAAAATGCTAGCACATCATGATAACACTTTAAGAAATTAAACAGTAGTTATCCTATCAGGAAGTCAAATGACACCATTATGGGACTAGGGAAACATGATACATACTATTCTTAAGTGTACAACAAGCAATTAATGTGATTATCCATTAACTTTTATTTAAAAGAGGAACCAATTGTCCTTTAGAGAACCTCTGTCCTCACTTCAAAGTAATAGTCATTAGTACAGAGAAGAGATTCAAATGGCTAGGTTATCTAAAAATATACTTTAAGCTTGTTTAAAATGGCAAACAGTGCAAAGAAAATGGAAGTACAACTAAAATGCAGATAACTTTATTAAACTTGTGGAGGTGATAAACGTTCGTTTCATGGGTATATACAGACATGTCATAATTGTACATTTTAAATAAATATATGTCGGTTGCTGCATGTCAGTTAAAGCTCAGTAAAGCTAAAAGTCATACTTATTTAGTAGCGATCTATCTTCACATATCTGACAAGTTAGCAGTAATAAAATATTCACATTATGTGTTTTTCTGCACAAAAGCCGCTAAGACCTCCTAGTTCAACACTAACACTAAAGATTCTGAAACAAAACGCTTTTATATCAGTCATGCTTGTGTAGATTAAAAAAGTCTATCTACAGAGCTCAAGAAATTCCAGGTTGGAAGGTGGGCATGGTCTTGCAAGCCTACAAACCCAGCACTTAGGAGGCTGAAGAAAGGGGATCACTGAGAGTCTAAAGCTAACCTGGGCTACATAGCGAGCTCAATGCCAGCCTAAATTACACAGCAAGATCCTGTCTCAAAAAAAAATAAAATAAATAAAATAAAATACAGGTTAGAGTGAAAACACTGTTATGGATCTACAATGAATTGTGCCCACTGTTATTAAAATAGTTTCTACTTTGTTAAATTTAGAATTCTAAAACACTCCCTATTACAAAACATGGATTTTCATGACCAAGTAGTCAAACTCGGGTCCTAAATATGACTAAAGGGGAAAATTTTACTCCTCTGCTTCTGTTTATTGACTGCATTTTTTACCTGTTCCTGGACATCTTCAAACTCTGAGCTGAGCAATTCTATGAAGATGGGCACTGCTCCTGCCTGAATCACAATCCGGGTCTGAAGAGAATTTCCTGAAGCAATATTTGTCAGTACCCAAGCTGATTCAAACTATAAAAATAAAAATAATTTTCATTATCTTTTTAGAATTTAAAAATTTGTTTACTTATAACAATAAAGGTTTCTGTACATGAAGAAAAGTGTCTGAGATTATTTGCATATTACTTATCAGGTAAACAACATTTAAATCTTTTAAACACTCCCAGAATACTTCAACCTAGAGGAATCTTCCAGTTGTCTAAAATTTCAGATCAAGACAGAGTTAACACAAGACACACACCAAAAAAAATAAGTGTTTCACATGCTGATATGGAATGATCTCCCAAGGTTTAAGTTTTAAAAAAAGCAAAATATACATCAATATGGTATCACACTATATTGTCTTAAGGATTAAAAGGAAATATATTCATTAATATAGCCATTGCACAGGTTATCTCTGGAGTGAGTCACAAGAAATTCTAAGCACTTGCCCACATGGAAAGGCCTGGAAGACTATGTAAAACAATTTCACTGGAAAACCCTACATTCCCTTGGCACTGGACTACGTAACTTATCTAATAAAAATTTCTGAAGGATAAACAAAGTAAAATGGAAAGAATATCAGTATTAAATGTGTAAAATAGTCACAGAGAAAAATGTGAAATGTCTTAAAGCAAGCCAAATTTAATTTAAATGTTAAGTAGGAAAAACAAGTTAACAGGCATACAATTAATAGATAAAACAATTTCAGAGCATAAATGCCTTCCAATAAGCAAGAAAGCTCAAAATTAATGTACAGAGTTCTTTTTATTTTCCCCAAAAGCATTCATAACAGGAGGGGAGAAAAAGGTGAACTGAGTAAAGGCTAATCTGTTACCACAGCAATGAAAAACAGAAGATATGAAAGAAATTAGGGCCAAGAAAAACTGCTATATATTATCAATTCTATACACACTAATAATAACTTGACTCATTAGGTTAATATTGAGGATCCAAGAATGACAGCTTACATTTCTATTTAGACTGATTCCTTCCCCCATTCTGTCTTTTATTTAGCCTTCACTGTAGTACAAACACAGGAGAAAAGTCAATGGTATGCTCTCTGAATGAGACAACAATAACAAGTCCTCAAAAGATGCACTTGTATCCCTGGTACTAAGAAAAAAAAAAAAAAGCACTTCTGACTTTTTCTAAGCTTCTAAATAAAAGGAAACTGCTGCAAGGAAAACAAAATCATCATTCACTGAGGGTGAAGAAAGATGGAACAAAGAGGCAGACAATCTGATCAGCACAGTCTAAAGCTACATGAATGACAGCAAATTCACACAAGACACTTAATGAGGAGGCTGTTCAAAGAAACCTATAAAAGTGACAAAAACAGGTGCAATAATGTGGTTTGGCAACTCACCTAGGTACTGAAATTTTAGCAGCTGGGAGGCCCACACTAAGACCACAACATTTAAAGAGCACACACAGTATATCTGATAACATTTTGTTACAACATAAGTTCATGAAACTTATGGATTAAGGCCTGAATAACACTAAAAAACAAACTCTCCACACATTTGTTTCTATAAATTAATCAAAGTAATGCTTGAATTCTTTTGTCTAAATTAAAACATTTTACATACGCACAGCACTTTATACTTTCAAAGGATTATTCACATATACCCTCAAATGATCTTCACAACAATTCAGAGAAGTAAAATACCTGGCTTTTCTAGTTATGAATGAAGAACCAGAAAAAAGACCCAAGAATGTGACTAACAGTTTGAGTAATGTTAAGCAGCCAGTCAGAGAAGGACTACATTATAGACTCTTACTGTAGTGTCTACAAAGGCTAGGCATAATTTCTTCTCTATAACATACCTGTGACACTGGCATGAGAGTACTTCAGTTGTTCTGGTTTCAGAATCAAGGACAAGACATTTCAAATAGTGGCATGCCAGATAATTTATGCTAAAAAACAAAAGTTCACCTAAAATGGTTCCTGTGTCTATTAGGAGAATTAGTTAAATCAGAGCCACATCATGTGATCATAAAAAGCAGACTGTCCTACTAGAAGGCAGGTGAAAAGTTCAATGAACAGTTATCACATGCTGCAGAAATCAAGTAAAAAGAAATGCAAAATGTAAGAAATCTCAATCTAGAGATAGTATGTAAAATCTGTATGTATGTCAGAAAGGATTTCAGTGACATTTTGATACAGAAGAAATGATAATAACCTGGAAAATTAAAAGATATATAAATGTTATTAGTGAAAAAAAATTACTTAGAATACTAATTGGTGCCAGAGTTCAAGCTAAGTCTAGCACCAAAGGCTCCAGAAGAAATGAGAGGAAATTTCAGAAGCTACTCCAGTGAATAAAGTGAAGAAATAAAATGAAATAGAGATGATGATTAAGAAAATGAAAAATAAAGTAAATAACAACCTGAACATGGATGTTAAAAAAGTTAGAAATCAGGGCAGGGGATTTGGCTCAGGGATTCTGCCGCCTGCCTCACAAGCACAAGGGCCCGAGTTCATTCCCTGGCACCAAAAAACAAAAGCTAGAAAGCAGTACATCTTAATAAAAGAACAATTCATCAGATTTATGTTTATTACTAAGAAGTATATAATGATGGTAACCTCCAAATGCAAAGACTCAAAATCAGAAATTAAAAAGTAATTTTTCTGTTACAAAGAACAGCAGAAAAGGAGGAAGTGTAACCAGAAGGCCACTGAAAACTGAACCATATTCATGGGCATTAACAAGGCATAAAAATACACACAATGCCAATTACTCCAGTTTTTTCCACCACATAAAAACTCATCAAACTGCACTTGTAAAATTTTCTATACCTACGAGTATATTAGAGAGGCACCCCTGTTAACGTTTGAAGAATCAACTATAAAATGTGTTTAACATGCAAAAATATTCTTTAAAATGCTTTGAACTATACAACTTCTCTTTGATCAGTCTATACTTAGGTATTTCACTTAGATTTGCACTTTTTATTTTTATTTTTTTAAAAATGTTTGTACTGTTATTAAAATTTAACCTGGGAAAGAACTGTGAAATGGGAAAGCCCAGAACTCATGACAAACACAATACATAAAGTTGTAACAGAAAGAGCCAAAAAAATTAATCACATGACTCAAGGGAAAATCAGTAACCTAAAAAAAAAAAAATCTAAGAAATGGTATTACTTGAAGTAAAGAAAAGGTGGCCAAAATAACTACAATCTTCACTTCCCTTTTGTTAAACTACTGTATCCTTACTATTCTAAGAATGGAACCACACAAGAAAACAACCTATTATGCAGCTGTAACTGCTTATAAAATGTCACTCCACTATTATTTTTCACTGTCCAGATCTTGCTAAGTAAGGCTACAACTGAAATCTGCACAATGAAGATTTGATGTTTTCTGTCTCCCCTTTCTCAGTCTCTACCTTCTGGTGCTCAGCTCCTTAAATAAGGAAAATGAGAATCCAAAGCTGAAGTACTTCTGACCTCCTATCAAGTTTCCCACTCCAGGTTGAGGTACGCCTGGTTCCCTTTCTCCATTTGGATCAGGACTCTGTTGCTGGCCACTTTGCCGGTTCCACTCTGGTTCCTAGCAAATGCCAGGCTCACCTGGAGAGCAAGTGAAAAGAAAGGCTCACATCAGAAAAATAAACCCAGATATCAAACTCTGCAGAGAATAGTGCCTGAGTCATCTGAGCAAACTTCCAGGAAAGGCAGAGAAATCAATGAAAATGGGAAAAGGCACAGGAGGGTGAAGGCTTACTGCAGTTTATCACATTTCGCTTTTAGAAGGGACAAGAAAGGTAGGAAAAGAGGAAACTTAGCCAACTTATTTGAAACTTACACCTTTTAATGGAGTATCTATTTCTAGACATTTTTGCAAGCTTCTATAAGGTTTGGTAATGCAACATCTTAGCACTGCAAAAGACAGCACAAAGATGCTAGGCCTAGACTCAGAACCAAATAGTGACCCCACAATAACACAACACAAAGTGGCCCAATCTCACACCAAAGGCTCGCATATGCCTGAGACTTACACTTCACTGAGCTCAAGAAATGCTCTTAACTAAAATCCTACATTCCATCTATGTTCCCCTTCAGTTTGAGGACAAGGGAGTACTTGGTTAGCAACACCCAGTCATTTTTAGCTCCCTTGTTTGATGTACCTCACTGATCTGAGAGACCAGAATCAGAATGAAGAGACCCTTTAACAGGATTCAGTTCCTTAGCTACGAAACAAAGAAATTAAGTTTGTCTGTGGGACTTATTTCTGAGTTAAGCCATCAAATTTCCTCTTCATATCATACTGCTGGCTATCTTTAGAAGAAAGAGAAATGGCAAAAGCCATACTCTAAAGATGCATTATTTGTATCCCTTGTAAGTAGGCAAGAGAATCAGGGCTAGCTTACATCCCTGTCCTCTCTAAGGATAGGAAGAGGCACCCTCCAAGCTTTTACAGAGCACATTTAATTATTGAAAACAAGGCAAAGCATGAAGTTCCCTGGCCCCAAGGTCTCTGAATTTTCTTGTTCTCCCTGCTTTCAGAGTGGCTGAGGTACCTACTAGTCACACTGGAGAGAGAATACCATGCTATACTTAAAAGTGCCCAGAAGGAAAGCTGGAGATGACAACCCTTAAATTATTAATAAATAAGTAGGTTATTTCTCAGCCTTGGAAATAGCTATGGTGAAAATAATGGTGTGGTCAATTCCAGAGGCATCATTTTTAAATCATTCAGCCTGATTATTAATTTGTATGAGGGTGGGATCTAGAACTATAGACAGCATAGTTTACATGGGTTAACACAGGAGGGGGCACTGTCTGAGAACACACTATACTAACTGTGCACATCAGTACGTGGAGATGGGAAAAGATCATCTCACTTTTTTCATTTTAGGCCTAAAAAAGTATACATTTCTTTTCTATGAATAAGAACTGGACCTCTGAAACCACCTATTAAAAACTGCTACCCTCAGGAGTAAAATCAGTATTTCTCAACTACACTCATTCCCAGAGATAAGACAAAAACATTTTTTTCACCATAAACAAAATGATAATTTTCCCTACCTCCTGCTTCCTACAAAGCATTTCAAATGATAAACTGCAGTAAGTTCCTCATTTGCTCCCTCTGGTTCTCCTGGCAGGCTGTTTAGCTCAGGCTCTGTTCTCTGCAGTGTTGGTTATCTGGATTTCCTTTTTCTGAGCAAAGTCTCTCTTCCCTTGCTCTCACGGTCAATGTGATTGTTTTCAGGTGTCTGCAGATTCTGGCCTTAGATGGGTCCAGAATTACAATCCAGGAGACAGCTAGCAAAACAGAGTCCTAATTCAAATAAACATGGGGACTAGTCAGTTGTCAGACTGGAGAAGGAAAACCGATGGGACATGGAAGTACTCTACCTTTTCTGGATTTCCTGTTTTTCCTCTGGAAGGAACTCATCACCGCAATAAAGATATAAAAGAAACAAAGATACAGCAGGACAAAAGGAGAGAAAATATCAAGACAAAGCATTAAGACTTATGAATAACCTACATTGGTCTTGCCAGTAAAGAGCCAGTGGACAGGGATTACTTATAAAAATGCCCTGTTCCCTACATGGCACCAACAAAAGTACATACATGGGAGAGGAAACTTTATAATTAACTTGTTACTGGCCAAAATTTACTTGGAAAAATAATCCCACTTTGTGTTCTACTTGGTACCTAGCCAAATTTTATAGTTGAATTTCCCAAGTATCTGACCCCTTCCAACTAGACACCACAGAAAGACTTTACAGTATGATCACAGATATTTGTTGATAATATAGATACTGTACTGATTCAGCTGGCTACATCAAGGAAGCCTCACTACTGAACATTTGCCACCTTGCTAAAAATCCAACTTTACTTGGGGTAAAAAAAGAAGTATACCAGGATAATAACTGACAACTGGTTTATTTTACTGTGAGAATTATCCAATTCACAGGTTGGAGAATTTCCTCTTGAATTCCTGCTGTCGTATAGTATTTAAATATTATGCCCATAACCAGAGACACACAGATTCTCAACAAAACTATCTCTCCTTGTCAGTTCTTCTAAAGTAGGAAGATTAATTAGGACCAGGTTGTACATTATGGAGTTTCTGATCCAGCCGTGGTGTACACCATCCTGAGAAAGCCAACAAATACCAACCTACAAATCCTCCCAAACCAATTTTACATAGCTCCCCCTTAAGTTCTTATTTATAATGGCTCTTATATGCAAGCATTTCCCTATTATCTACAATAATAAAACATCTTAAATTATTAAAGATACAAATTCAAACAAGTATAATCAAGATTCTACATGTTAGCAAATTTATAAAATCTGCAGAGTAATTATGAGGAATATCATTATGAACAAACTTAATCCTTCACAGAGGTAAGACAATTAAAAAATTAATATATGAAAGTTTTAAAAATATTAATACATATTTTTGCCAGGGATATGGCTCAGTGGTGCCACAACAGCCTGGCAAGTGCAAGGTCCTGAGTACGATCACGGGTACCGCAAAAAAAAAATAATAATAATAATAATAATAATACGTATTTGTACTAATACATACATAATAAATATTCACCTTGGGGAGTTGGTACACACACACATCACATCTTGTACTTTTTCTCCCCCACCGCTCCCTCCAGAGTAAGTATTCACAGAAAAATAAATTATGAGGCAAGAAATGAAAATGTTCCGCACCTGCAGTGTACAATTCTCTTTTCGTTTGAGGAATTCCACAAACCTGGCCACTACTCCTGGTGTGCTGATAACTTCATCAATAGGAGGGTTAGGTTCTGTTTCCAAATAAACAGGAAAGAAGAAAACAATCCTTTGATTTCAATACAAACACTTTATAGCTTAAAATTACTTCATAATACCACTCAATTTATCAGCTCTTTCATTTTAAAATCTACTTAAATAAAAAGTAAAAAGGATAGACAGAATTTTCCTTTGTTCTGTTTTTGCAATGAAACTTTTTTTCAGCCTTGGAGATGAATCCAGGACTTGCCCATGCTAGATAAATACTTTAACTGAGTTATACTCCTAGATCCTAAGAATTCTTAAGTTAAAATTCCTATGGCTACTACTTAACAAAAATTAAAAACCAAGTTAATAGATATCCAAAGATATCTACTGTTATTTTTGTTATACTTCCTTCTGGCTCTTCTATACATGATCTTTCAGTTTTTGTTTATCGTTATGTCGTCTTACAAAAAACTGCATCACAGAATCCTCTGTGGTTACAGGACCTTGATTTAACACTTGTAATGCTAAGTACAGGCAGCAAGAATTAAGACTGACTTACCAAATTAATCTCATTTTCATTTAGGACAATACAGTATCTTATAAAAGAAGTCTACTGCATGGATAGGAAATATCAGACAACCAGACTGGTAATCTAAGCAAGAGAACTGACAGTTTTTGATAACATGCATGTGACAATTCCAGAAAAATGCAGGTAGATCACAATACCATACAGAGATTCTTAGCAAAGTCAATGGCCTTAATGAAAAAAGGTACTAATCGCTCGATATTGACTTGGGACAGAGAGGGCTCTAATGACTTGTCCTTGTTCAAGATTTTTCTCTCTCCTTCAAATAAATGGTACAAAAAGATTAATGACAATAAATATAAATTAGTATAATATACTGAATTATAGAAATGAAAAAATAAAAACTGGCAACAAAACAAAATAAAGCAAAATACACAAATGATTTTTCTGTTTTCTGGGGGATGATATCTCATTATGTTGGTCTGTCTGCCCTTTAACACTTGGCTCAAGCTGGGTGTGGTGGTGCACGCCTGTAATCCCAGCACTCGGGAGGCTGAGGCAGGTGGATAGCTGTGAGTTCAAGACCAGACTGGGCTACACAGTGAGTTGCAGGTCAGTCTGAACTACATAGTAAGACCCTGTCTCAAAAAAAACAAAAACAGAAAAACAAACATTTGGCTCAAGTGATCCTTCTGCCTCAGCCTTCCAAGAGTACCTGGGATTACAGGTGTAAACTATAAAATACCTGGCTTCACAACTGATTCTAAAAGGCAATTTTTAAAACTCTGTATCACTTCCCAAAAATGTAACTATACTTCAGGAAGAAAAATGCTAGGAATTTGGTTTGCTAAAAACTATGTCATGACATCAAAACAACTAATTAAGAGTAATTATTAGAATGAATAGTCTTAGGACAAAAAAGGGAAACTCTCACCATGCCCATTAGTAATAACACATCTGGAGTATCTTATTCTAGTTCGCACATTTTCAAGTGGGATGTCAGCAAACTAAAATACAAGCACTACACCTGTAATCCCAGCACAAAGGAGGCTGAGGCAGGAGGATCGCTGTGAGTTTGAGACCAGCCTGGGCTACATAGTGAGCTCTAGGGCAGTCTAAACTACATAGTGAGACCCTATCTCAAAAAAAAAAAAAAAAATACAAGCATGCAAGGAGTAAAGTGGTAAAAAGCCATATTATGTGAAAAAACCACTATTCTCAACATGTTGAAAGATGTTTTTCAGAAGAGTAGCAAGATACACCTTTCCTTCGTATACAGTGGACCCTCAAATTACAACCAGCCTGACGTACAAATGAGTTAATTAGGTTAATGGGAGATTCATCTGCCTCTTATTGTCTACATCACGTACCCAGGTAAAAACATCCAGACCTCAGCTGTACTGACTTACAACCAACTTGAGTTAAAACCAGCCCTAAGGAACCAATCAATTTTTGTAAGACAAGGGTCCACTGCATTTAGTAAGTTGTCACACAAAAGATGCATTTGGTTTGTGATAATGTTAAATTTTTATTATGTTAAGTTTTTAAAGTCACTAATGATTCCAAACAACCATAACTTACCATGGAGTGTAGGGGCATGATGAAACATTTACTATTAACATTTTAGTAATGTTCGAATTATCTTTACTTGCTCAGAGTGACAGTATCTCTCTACTCCACTCTAATCATACCAAACAGGTAGTGAGTTATCCTATCCAGTAATAACATCCATACTTAAGTTTCAGTGGTAAATTGCTAACATTAAAATCAACAATTACTGCTTTCTCAAGTAACATTATAAAGAAGTTTTTCTATAAGTAGAGTGGAGTTTCTTACTGAGTTAACAAAATCTTGACTATGATTCACTAAGGTCTTTTGTAAGATGGCTGAAAAATTAAAGGTAAGATCTCATAAACAGCCAGGCATGGTGGCACATGCCTGTAATCCCAACACTTGAGAGGCTGAGACAGGAGGATTGCCATGAGTTGGAGGCCACCTTGAGCTACACAATGAAGCCCTGCCTCAAAAAACAAACGAAACAAAAATCTCATAAACAAGTGAAAAGTGAAAATTTTGAATAATAAATTATTCAACATTATGCATATGTACATGCATCCAGTTTTTTATTGACTAAAATACCCTTCAAGCCAGGTGTTAGTGCACCCCTGTAATGCCAGCACTTGGGGGGCTGAGGCAGAATTGCCATAAGTTCAAGGTCAGCCTGAGCTACATGGTGAGACCTTGTCTCAAAAAAAAAATTTTTTTTAATTAATTCTAAAAATACACTTCAAATCAAGCATCTGAGACATGAAAACAGATTATGGGAAAGGAGTATTTTATAGATGAAAAGATACACTTATATTTAGAGCTCACCTTTTGAAAGAAGTTTTCTGAATTTCTGTGTTGCAGAAAGCTGTTGCTCCGGGCTATTAGAAAATATCATCTCAATCATATCAGAAGTAATAACACCACCCTGGGATCACAAACACAAAGTAAATGTGGTGAGACATTAAACTTAACTAAGAGACAAACAAAGATATACAAGTTACTGCCAGTTACCAATTTAGTCATATTTCTCAAAAAATTTTACACAGGTAGAACAATATTCACACCCAAAAATATATAAAATGATTAGTGATGTAATGAGGCCAAATTCTTTTCTATTATTTAAAAGTTCAAAAAAGCTGAGAAAGTAATCGCAGCAGTAAATGTTAAGACAAGAAGCTTATTATCCATCCTCTCCTTGCTTATTATTTGGCTGGCTGTTGTTACTACAGAAATTAAATGTTAAGGTCTACACAATGGTTTTTCATGATCTCTAACCCTAAAGCAGCTGCTCTAGCGCTATTATGTCACCCTATCTTAATTCTATGCCCAGCTAGCTATGATCACTTCTAGATATTTTTCCTGATGATTTGTTAATGTCTAGGTTCCCCCAGTTTACTATAATCTCCTTGAAAGCCAAAGATACCCTTTTCTTTGTATTTTTTCAAATTTGACACATAAAAACATAACAATTATACATATTAATGAGATGCCATGTGTTGTTTCAACACATGTACACACCATGTAGTGCTAAAGCAAGACCCCATCCACCTCACCACTCTATCACTAATGCTGGCATACAGTCATACAAATGTCTGGCTCAACAAACACTGAAGTAGACAGTGGTCCTGTATAAATCATAAATTCTAGCCACTGCCAAATTCAACAGCTGACTCTTAAAATTCTTATTTTCTTGATTTGTTAAAACTATTTTTTCAATTTATTACAACCTGGTGTGGGGTTGGGGGTTGTTTAGTACCAGGGACTAAACCAGGGGCGTTGTACTTAGCTACAACAGGGTCTCGCTAAGTCATCCAAGCTGGGCTTGACTTGTGATCTTCCTGCCCCAGCTTCCCAGGGTGCTGGGATTAGAGGCATACATCCCCCTACCCAGTATTTTATTAGTTTAATAGACATTTGCATTTTTCCACTATTTTCTTGTTTTATTACTCTTCTATTTCATACTAAAACCCATGTCCACTATCAGTTTCTTCTCAGGATCTTTAGTCACAATGAAATGAAGTTCTTATATTAATTCACAAGATGAACTGTAAAACTGTTCTGCTGAGCGTAAATGCTGGGTGGCTGATAAGCAATATCTAACACAGGAACACCTATAGGGGAATATACGAAGCATATGCTCAAGAGTGAGAAAAGTAATTCCTTTCCAAGTTCCAAGACTGATTCTTAAATAAAGGCACCTAAACACTGCTATTAATCTTTGAACACACACACACACACACACACAGTTGTATACATCTGTGTGTAAAAACATTCATTATTTATAAATGCAACTATTTTTTTCCTTCTCATATAAGCTGTACTGATTTTATATCCTGGTATTTAAGTTACAGGATATCAAGAAAAGCAATGGACATTACCCAAAAATTTTTCACCATCTTCTTATGGAAAAGGATATGTATTCAGCTACATGCAAAAAAGTGGTATCATCTTAGAGGAAAGAATAATTTTGTTGTTTGAGACTTGGTATGTTGTTAGATGTGAATGAATGCAAAACTGGTAATAGACTTTGATGTTTAATTTTATATGTCAACTTGATTAGGTTATTGTAACCAGTTACTTGGTCAAACTCTATTCTAGATGTTACTCTGAAAACATATTTAGAAAGACCCTGTCTCAAAATAAAAAATTAAAAGGGGTGGAGGGATTAAGGATGTAGCTCACTGTGAACTCCCTGGCTCAACCTCCAGTTTAGGAGATGGGGGAAAAAAACAAAATGCTATAGATGTAATTTAAATCAGTATATGATGTGAGTTAAACAGATCGCTACTCATAATGTGGTTAACACCACCCAATCTGGTAAAAGCTGTAAGAGCAAAGACAGGTTTCTCAAAGAAAGAGGAATTCAGCCTTCAGACAACATCAATTTTTACCTACTATTCCAGACTGCTGATTTGTCAGACTTCAAACTTGTGAGCTACCAACCATGTAAGCCACTTCCTTAACTCCCTCTCACTGGTTCTGTTTCTCTGAAGAATTATAATACAGTTCATAAAACAATATATTCACTTAATACCCAATATACAAACATGACAATATATCAATTTAATTTTTAAATTGGAAAGACTAAATTTCTGAAAGCCCTAGAAAACGGCATGGCAAAAATGTATAAACCAAATCCAAAGGAGAATATACTCTCTTCTCAATTACAAAAGCAAACAAGTACGTGTAACTAGAGACCTATGAAATAAAACTTTAAACAAACAAAGAAACAAAAAAAAAACTATAAAATATTGTGCAGGGCCAGGGATTTAGCTCAGTGATTCCACCACCTGCCTAGCAAGGTCAAGGTCCCGAGTTCAATCCCCAGTACCAATTAATAAACAAATTAATTAATTAATTAAAAAAATACTGTGCATAGTATGCCACCATTTGTACTAAAAAAAAAAAGAAAAAGGTCAGGCGGGTGGGGAGCATTTACTTTCCTTCACATACAGGCTCTATAAAAGAATAAGAACTGAATAATCATGGTTGCCACTGAGGAAAAATACTGGATAACTACATTAAAAAGACAGCTTTCTCTTTAAAAAAAAAAAAAAAGTGTATGTATGATCTATTTAAAAGTACACAATTATAATACACAGAAATACAAAGGTATCACCCACACAAAGCATAATTTTTGTAACTATGTAAGTCAAAAAAGTTCAGTGATTCTTTGTAACAATATTCCAATAGTTCTGATACAGAATCAACTTTTGGGCTGGCAATTTAGCTCAGTGGCGCTGTGCCTGCCTCACAAGAGTAAGGTCCTGGTTAGATAACCCAATACCGAGAAAGAAAAAAATGAAAGAAAGAAAGTTAGAGACAACTTTTAAAATCATATACATGTTGACTTTATAATTGTCAAGGAATAATTTTATTTTTAAATATAATTTTGAGGTGGTAATTTTAATTTTTAAATGATATGCAATAATTGTACAAATTTGTGGTACAGTAGGGGTGATTTGACATATATTCTTTGTAAGTTTTATAGTTGAACTAATTTTTGTGATTTAATTTTGTTTAAATGTACTCTATCCAAAATACAAAACATTTAAGAGATAAATATTAAATAGTAAATACACAGCTTTTTAAAAATGAAATGCCAAGTACTTTTTGTAGTCAGCTAACCTACCCACTGATTAAACTTAAGAGATCTTATCTCTTATCTTCAAAATAAGCCCTTTTTATTATTTTACTTACTGGTGCCATCTCCATGTTATTGATCTGGGCCTCATGAAAGCCACCATCTGACATAACTTCCTCTTCTGTTTCTTCTTCTGCTGTAGCAACATTTCTCCGCTTGAATAACTGAAAAATAAGGCTATCAGTAATGCAATTCTAACACAAGGAGTTCAGCATCCAAATAGTAGATATTTCATTTAAAAAGCAAAAGGAATGAAGCTCTTCGAAAGTCATCTTTAAAATTCTACAGTTTGTGGTAACTTAAATCTTACCTGATGAGAAACAATTTCATATGTACTGACAGTCTTACTAATAGAATTTATTGTAACTACTGTATATGCATAATCACTACCCTAAAGAAAGAAAATATACCTGAGAAGTCTTGAATTGCATGATTAAAAAAAAAAAAGGTTGGAAAACGGACCACGTGTGGCCATTTCTCTCATCTCTCTACACTAAGCAGCAACACGATGGTCTTAATCCGGCATCAAGCTCACTCTGCAGAGCTAGTCTCTCTCTCACTCTTCGCTTTTTCAAATAAACTTTGCAAAAAAGTGGATTGAGGGCTGGGGATTTAGCCCAGTGGTTCCACCACCTACCTCGCATGCTCAAGGTTCCAAGTTTTATCCCTGGTACCAAAAAAAAAAAAGTGGATTGAGGACTGGGGCTTTGGCGCAGTAGTTCTGCCACCTACCTCGCAAGTACGAGGAAGGATCCGTGTTCGATCCCTGATACCAAAAACAAAATAAAAGTGAATTAAGGAGTCTTGAAGCCTTCCCAATCTATCCAAGAATCAGTGACAAGGCCTCTTTGAACACTAGTTTAAAGCATCCACTAATTTGCACAGGGGAAGAATAGTTTTCTGCAAAGTCAGCCCAATATGATGCTTCCTATTATATCCTTGAGAATCCTGTCAGGACACTTACTCATCAAGCCATGAAGGAGAAACAGTAAACTATCTTTCCATCCTAAACAACTAAAAAGCAGAAAAAACATACATAAAAATACATGGTTCAGTGTTGAGAGTCATTCTACGTAAATTTTGCAGATAAGTCATTTCATGAGGAATTTTAACTATAGCTATCTAAGGCTCAATGTTGGGTTGCCCATGAGCCAGCTTTGGCACAGCAAACAACTCGTTTGTCTCTGGTCTCAAAGGTCTGTGAGGCTCAAGGGCAAGATTGCATCAGCTGAAGACATCCCAGTTCTTTGAGAACAAAGTAGTAATACAAAAAGAGAAAAGTTTCACCTGGGAAAGGACAAATTCTTTATCAACTTAACTCATCCCACCTACTGTGGGGAGAGAGAGAGAGAGAGAGAGAGAGAGAGAGAGAGAAAGAGAGAGTGTGTGTGTGTGTCTGTCAGCATGAGATTCTCATCAAGGTAGGATCACCACCACCCCCTATGTCACCCCATACGCCCTCTAGTTATTTTGTGTACCTAATAAATAAAGGCTAATACAGAGTGTCTTGGTCTTTGCCCTCTCTGAGGCATTAACCTCCCAAACCCCCACATCCTTTGAAAGAAGTCCCTATTGTCTTTTTTTCTTTAGTCCTCACCACCCCAGAAGATTGGTCAGCCTCAGATAGTTCAGACAATCGACAACAGATAGCAAATGAAAGTGACTACTCAGAGAATACATACACAAGATCAGGTCCATGGCTGCCTTGGATTACTGCCTGGACAGTATCCAGGCTGAAATGCAGGGAGGGTAAATGCAAACAGAGACTACATACTCCTTGAATTAAGAGTTTAAAACTGAGAAGGAGGCCTGGGCATACAGAATTCACAAGGTAAAGTATAAGGAAGGAAATTAACATACAGAGAATTTCAAAGATCTACAGAAGTTTGTTTCCCTTTGAGTCTAATTTTGTACTGATCAGCGTATAATCATCTTCCTCCAGAAGACAGAAGCAGAGGGAATACTTCCTATCTCATTCTTTGGGGACAGTATTAACTATCATTAGTGCTACAATAAAGAAGGAAGTGCAGTTTTCTCAGATATACTGGTTTCATTTCCTTTAACTACATACATAGTAATGGGATAGTTGGAACCCATCGTAGTTCTTTTTTAGTTTCTTGAACCTCCATACCATTTTCCATAATGGTTTTACTAAACATTCCCAAGAGTCCCACCAACAGTATACAAAGTATACAAGACTTCTCCTTCTCTATCCTTGCATTTTAATTTTTGGTCTTTTTTATTACAGCCATTCTAAGAGGGTGAGATAATATTTCATTATAGGTTTTGATACGCCTGTCCTGTTGACTAGCGATGTTGCATTTTTTTCACATACTTCTTAGCCATTTTATATCTTCTTCTGAGAAATGTCTATTCAGATCATTTATCAATTTTTAAATCAGACTGTATGTTTTGCTGTTGACTTTTTGGTTCCTTATATATTCTGGGTATCAATTCCTGGACAGACAGTTGTGCCTCTTCACTCTGCTGATTATTTCCTTTGCTGTGCAGAACCTTCTTAGTTTGATATAATCCAATTTTCTATTTTTATTTCTGTCACATGTATTTTCAGGGTCTTAGCCAAAAAAGGACTGCTTTTACCAGTCCAGTTCCTGGCTTATCAGGCCACAGAACCAAATTTTCTCTTTCTCAAGGACAGTCACAGAAACTACAATCTCCTCCCCCTTTTGTCTTAAGAGTTGGCCATAAAGCAATTTTCTGGTTCAGCCCTAAAAGGTCATTAAGAGTCCTCATTCTAGTAGGGTTCTGGCATATAACCTGAATGAAGAAATAATGAAGAGGCAAGAATGCTAAAACAGACAGCCCTTGCTGGGTTTCCCCACTCAGTTTATTAGCATGAGATACCAAATGAAGTCTCCATTAACACCCAACAGGATAGGATTCACAAAGCTTCTAGAATGGAGTACATGGAGGTTCTTTGAGGATGTCATGCCTGCAGAGGGCGTGGAAGTCCTGTGCACCTTCTCCCACAATGTGCTCCAGGTACTTCAACAAAATCCCTCATAACTTTTAATAATAAACCAGTAAATACTTCCCTGAGTTCTGTGAACGGCTCAAGCAGTAAGTCAAACCCAAGAAGTGGGTTGTGAGAATGCTGATTAATAGCTGGTCACACAAAGGACAGATAAAACAACTTGGAGCTTGCAACTGGCATCTAATGTGGGGGGGGGCATGACTTGAGAACTGAGACCACCCTCTATCTACTTGTATCCAGGTAGTGTCAGAATTGAATCTGGATTAGAAGATATTCAGCTGGTGTATGACGCTGCCTGCAGAAATGATTTCTTGCTTGCCAAGTAGAGAAATCCCTACACTTTTTGATATCACAGAAGTCTTCTCTATTGCATGGTATGAGAGTAAAGTCAAGCAATCTGTTTTTCCAAAGTATTTCCTGTTTTCTTACAATATGTACATAGTTTCAAATTTAGTATCTTTGATGCATTTTGAATTGATCTTATACAAGGAGATGGGGATTAGTTTTATTCTTCTATATATGGACACACAGTTTTCCTATCACTATTTTGAAGAAATTGTCCTTTTTCTAGTGTATGTTTTCAGTGCTTTTCACTCTATGTTTTGTTTTGTTTTTTTTCTAGTACCAGGACTCAACCTCAGGACCTTGCCCTTAGAGGGCAGGCATGGCACCGCTGAGCTATATTCCCAGCCCTACTCTGTTTGTTATTTTTTTTTTTGTTTTTTGATTTGGTACCAGGGATTGAACTCAGGACTTTGTGCTTGTGAAACAGGTGGTGGCACTGAGTTAAATCTCTGTGTATTTTCAATACCTTCCTTTTATGACTAGTTTTGAGTACTTGGATTACAATATGCCATGACATAGTTTTCTTCACGTTTCTTGTGACTGGGATTCATTGTTTTCTTTGATCAGTGGACTTACAGCTTTCATTAATTATACAAGTTCTCAGTTGTTATTTCAAGTATTTTTTCCTCTCAACTGTCCATCTCTGAGAACTCCAACTGTTTATATATGAGCTTTCTTTTTTTTTTTTTTTTTTTTTTTGAGAGGGTACCAGGGATCAAACTTGGGACCTTGCATTTGTGAGGCAGGTAGCAGAACCACTGAGCACTGGCCCTGTATTAGCTTTCTTAAAGTCTCACAGCACACGTTGGTTGGTGGTGGCTGGGTGTATGTGTGTGTGTGTTTTACCTCTCTCTCATTTTAGACAGTTCTATTCCTATGGCTTGAAACCCACTAATCTTTTTTTCTGAAACTTCTAACTTGCTACTGATTATGTCTGTGTTCTTTTATCTAAGCAACATAGTTTTTATCTCCTGAACTTAATTTCAATCGTTTTATACAGAATAGTTATGATAGCCATTTTAAAGCAATTTTTTGCTAAATCTATTATCTGCATCAATTTCAAATGAACATTCTCATTATAGGTTGTGTTTTCCTGCTCCCTTGTATACTTGGCAATCTTTCTTTAGATGTCAGACATTGTCAATTTTCCTGTTAATACTGGATATTTGTTTCTATAAATATTCTTGAGATCTGGTATGCAGCTATACTGAAACAGTTTGACATTTTTGGACCTTTTCTTATAATTTGTTAGGCAGATCTAGAGCAGTGCTAAGTCCAGAGCTAATTAATTTCTACTATGAAAGTCTAGACTTCCCTAGATCTTCCATGAAGTATGAGTTTTCCTAGTCTGGCTAGTGCTAAGACAATCACAATTTTTATATTATAAGTAGACTACAGGTTGCCTAGACTTGTTAGCCTAGTAAACTGAGGGAAACACTGGATGTCCACAAGTTTATCAACTTGGTTATTCCAGAAAATATTTTTTGTAACTAGAAACATCAAACCGCCCCTCTTTACCACTACGGTTTTTATGAACTTTTTAGCAAAACTATGTTATATATTATCTTCTCACACTGGTTCAGCAAGAATCTACACAATTTAAAGTATTTCAAAAGTATTCCTTTCTTCATGAAAAACTTTAAGTAACAGCACAATCAGAATGGCATCAATAATTAATATTTTCCAAACAATAAATGTTTAGTTTGGTCTGTCACTGTTACCTTGTCAGAGATGATAATATGCACCTAAAAATTATATATGCACAAATAAAAATTCTAGTCTACTAAAAGAATGGCTTTAAAAGATGCGGATTATCTTTGTGTACTTGACAGCACCATCTACTATAACATCCTCAAATCTAGATGCTCAATTGATAGAAGCCAAAGACTTTTCTAGACAGATGACGCAGCAACTGTGCAAAGATAAATAATTTTGTATTTCCTGATGGTTACTATTGTATAAATCAAGACATGATTTACTACTATTGTGTTATTAGGAAACCTGTTTTTTTTAGGGGAGGGATGGGCAGATGGTATTGGGGATTAAACCCATGACCTTTAAACTGAGCTGTATGCCCACCCTTTTAAAATTTTGTTTTGAGACAGGGTCTTACTAAATTATTACATTGCCCAGGATGGCCTTGAACCTGAGATCCTCCTGATTCAGCCTTCAGAGTGCAACAAGATTACCAGTACGAGCCATACGAGCCAACACACCCAGCAGATTTTAGTTTTACTAGTTCTTCTAATACAAATTGACACATATGAAATGACAAAATTAAGTTACTTATTAAAGCCCTAGAAGAATTTCAGATCTCATACAATGCATATGGTTAACCTCGAACTATGAATTTTGTTTATTTCGGAGGTTTTTTGTTTTTGGTACTGGGAGTGAATTCAGGACCTTATGATTGCAAGGCAGGCACAATGCCACTGAACTAAATCCCCAGCTATATTGGTTTTTTAGGACATAGTCTCACTATGTAGCTCAGGCTAGCCTCAAACTCATGGCAATCCTGCCTCAGCCTCTCAAATGCTAGGATTATAGGCGTGCACCACCACACCCAGCTGTCCTAAGCATTTTTTAAAGAAAGTAAAGCGAGGCTATGTCCCAAGTTCTTTTATAGATGCTCTTAGTTTAAAAATGATTTTTTTAAGAAAAAATCCTAAATGCCCTTATGAATAATACAGAATCATAAGCTACAGTCCCTGAAACTCATTTTAAAATATTAGCTAGTAAAAAATTGTAGACAAATATGAAGGATGGCAAACTGATAACAATTACTGAACCCAAAAATAAGATTCATAAGATTCTTTATCCTTTATTTTGTATACAATTTTTCAAATGAAATTTATGAGACATAATGTTTTTGAGGTTTCACTAAACCAGTCAATTTCACAGGCTGGGGATTTAGCTCAGTGGTTTAGTGGCCTGCCTTGCAAGCGCAAGGACCCGACTTCAATCCCCGGTACCCCCACAAAAAAAACTAGTGAATTTCAGAAATCACTAACAAAAATGCACAAAAATCTTAAGGAAGTTGCATTTAGAAAAACTAAGTAAGCTAAAAAATAAACAGGTCAACAATGTAAACAGGGTTTTTACTGAGAAAATGGAAACCTGAGAGATTTTCTCATTCTTATAGTCCCTTTTTTAGTACTTCCTCTTCCACGTCCAAAAATAGCGGTTTGATAGTGTAAAGAGGAACACAGATATATCACTGTTAAAATAAAAAGAGGACAGTTGCCAGTTTAAGATGGATCTTCCTTCATTTTAAAGAAATGAACAAAGACAGAGGACCTACCTGTTCCTCTCTTTTCTGCTTTCGTAGTTGCAATCCTTCTTCCTCTCTCCTTCTGCGCATCTCATCCGGATTTAGAGATTTGTTCTTGTAACTTTTCAGGCGGAAGTTCTCTTTTCCTGGGGTGGTCATGATTTCTACAAGAGTGGAAAGAGAATAGATGAGATAGCTCATAGTACAAAAGTCCTCTTATTCCACAAGCTCAGCCTTAAGCATACACATGCCCAGATATTAGAAATGATGATTTAACAGCTTTGTTAAAATATACAATTTATTGTATTCATAGCTGTGCACAACCATTACCATAGTGAATTTTAGAGTATTATCATCACCTCAAAAAAATCCTGAGGCTGGGAATGTAGCTCAGTGATAGAGTACTTGCCTAGCATGCAAAAGCATTCAACCCTCAGTACCATAAATTTATAAAGTACCCAAAAAAAAAAAAAAAAAAACCCAAAACACAAAAGAAATCTTTCATCATTTAGCTATCATTCCTTTCATTTTTGATATTTCATATGAACAGAAAGATACAATACACAATCTTTCATGGCTTCTTTCACTTAGCATGATGTTTACAAAGTACACTTACATTATAAAATATATCAGTACTTCATTCTTTTCTACAGGTGAATATTTCATTTTACATATATACCCAGTTATATTTATCCCTTCTTCAGTGAGCTGTTACTATCTTTTTGTTATTGTGAACAATGGTTCTGCAAACATTTGTGGTAGGGCATGGTGGTGCACACCTATAATCTCAATACTAAGGAGGCTGAGGCAGGTGTATTATCATAAATTTAAAGCCTGCCTGGGCTACTTAGTGATTTCAAGGCCAACCTGAACTATATAGCAAGACTTAAGTCTCAAAAAACCAAATCAGGGTCTCACTATGTAGTTCAGGCTGGCCTTGAACTCAGTAAGTAACCGAGGCTGGACTCAAGCTTGTGGCAATACTCCTGGCTCAGCCCTCCTGTGGGCTAGGATTACAAGAATGCACCATGACACCCAGCAAATTTCTGTTATGAGCTACCTAGTCTCTGGTGTTTTGTTATAGCTGCCTGAATGGACTATGAGAACTCTTGTCAGTGAAGTCAACAACAACAAAGCATATTATATATATAATATAAAAAATATATATATGGTTTATTGACTATCAAACTTTTTTGTTTTGTTTTTTGTTGTTTGAGACAGGGTCCCACTACGTAGTTGAGGCTGACCTGTAATTCACTATGTAGCCCAGGCTGGCCTCAAAGTCACAGCAATCCTCCTGTCTCAGCCTTCCAAGTGCTGGGATTTCAGGTGTGTGCCACCACGCCTGGCTTGATCATCAAATTTTATTCCTAACAAGCTTTTTACCATTAAGTATAATATTACCTTAGAATTTTTCATAGATGTTACTCACCATGTTAAGCATTTCCCTTCCATTCCTAGTACTATGATCTAGAGCTAAAATATGCCCCCTGAAAGTCTTGTGCATTCAGATGGGAATTTTAAAAGGTGACTGGATTGGAGGTAACTATACTCATCAGTGGATTAATCCACTGATAAATTCATGTGCTGCTAGCAGATGGGGCTCAGTTGGAGGGGTGGGTATTGGAGACATGGCTTTGCCCCCAGCTCCTACGTTTTCTGTTTTCTTTCACCCACCCTTCTGTCATGCTTCTACCCTGGAACCAAGCAACCATGGATTAAATCTTCTGAAAACCATGAGTCAAAATAAACTTCCTTTAAGTTTTGAGTGTTGGAAATTTTGTCTCAGCAATGGAAAAGCTGACTAATACACCTAGTTGCTCAGTGTTTATCATTAAAAGGTGCTGGACATAGTCAAATGCTCTTTCTGTATCTACTGAGATGACAATGCAGTTTTTTCTTTTATCTTACCTCAACTGGTTTTTGGACTTTAAGTTTGCGTTTCTGGGATAAATCCCACTTGGTCATGATGGATGACTATTTCTCTATGATGTTGAACTCAGTTCGCGAGTATCTGCTAAGGATTTTTATATTCACACTATACAGTGGTGGCAAACCTACGGCACATGTGCCACAGTGGGCAGTGACTGCTGAAAGCTCTAAAAGGTTCGCTATCACTGGACTATATTGTACTGTCTGTAATATTCTTATAATGCCTTTGTTTGAATTTACTATCAGAATTGCTTCTCGCTTGGCCTTTTGGCTAAGCTCAAGTGAATTTGCTAACAAGAGTAAAACAGGCTCCATAAAATATCAATACTTCTTTGGCAGAATTCAGCAGTGAAATCACATGGGCCTAGGTTTTTTAATGTGTATAGTTTTGTGAGGAGTAATTCAGTGTCTTCACACCTTACAAATTTACTCAGATTACTCCTTACTGAGACTCTTAGGTTTTGCTTTTTGAATAAATCTGTACATTTTATCTAAGTCATTTAATTTATTGGGATATAACTTCATAGTATTTCTTCCTAATCCTTTTCATTTTTGTAAGGTCACTAATAATGCCCCATTTCAAATTTTTACCCTTCACATCATTAATTTATGCATACTGGTTATCAGATCGATGGATTTCATCTGAGCAGATTTATAAATGCATGTAACACACTTTCATCATCCCTCCATTTCCCCCTTTGGCCCATCCTCCCTCCTACTTTGACAATGGTGGGGATTTCGTTTCAGATTGAATATTACAACCCTTCCACTAACATCCACCCAATGTGTTATTTTACCTTCTAAGATTTCAGTAACCCAAGATCAGCCAAGGTCCAAACATATTAAATAGAAAAGTCTAGAAATAAATAATTCATAGGTTTTAAATTGCACACCACTTTAATTGTTGATGAAATCTCACACCACCCTACAGTCGTCCTGTATGGAATGTGAATCATCCCTTTTCCAGTGTATGGATCTACATTATTTACCTGAAAATAAGACCAGCTCTTATATTAATTGATCTTCCAAAAGACACAATAGGGCATATTTTCAGGGGATGTCTTATTTCTTCATGTACAACAATCTACATTTATGTACAAAAATTCAACATTTATTCATGTATAACATTCTACATTTATTCAAATATAGTCATATCATCTTCCAGAACAATGTCATAAAGCTCCAAACTCTGAATTTCTTGCAACTGCATTTCCTGTAAAACCAGTGGCCCAAAATTCTCACTTTCAGCAACAGAGCTGTCCTAAAACGAGCACTTCATGTCTATGTAGCCTGTTTGCAGTACATCAGTAACACAGCTGTCAGTGATTTTATCCCACAAATTCCTCACCCAAGTCATAACCTCTTGCAGACTGGGCTTCACAGAGTTTCCATTAAATCAAGTGTTACCTGAAGACTTACGAGATAGGAGTGGAAACAAAACTGATGAAAATTAAAAATGACGGTTCACACAAAAGTGATGAAAAATTCCAGGTACCAAAATTAAGAAAAAGTTTATTTCACATGAGTGCATTAAGTACATCCATTACAACACAGGACATATTGAATTATGAACATTCACATTAGGTACAATCACATTTATTAGTTACCAAGTAAGTGTACATGTTGTCTATGTGTGTCTATACCTGATATCAATAGGCAATAAATCTCAATTACACCTGATTACATTCTTGTCCAATGGCATCTGCTTGGGTATTTACGAGTACTTATTTATAATTTATATTATCATTTAAGATTCAATGCCAATAATATTATTCAAAACTATAATCAAATATCAGTTACGGGTACTGGTATAGAAATATTAAAAAAAATTAGCAGATAAAATTAAGTGCTACACCATCATCAAGTATATCAGATCCAAAAATCAATGATCACGGCATACTAGGAAATCCATTATCATAATTCCCTGTATTTAACAGTTAAAAGAGGAACAATGACCCCTTCAGTAACTGCCAAAGAGGCATTTAATAGAATTTAACATATTTGAGATTTTATTCTATTTTTTTATTATTATTATTATTATTATTATAGTTTTTTGGGGTGAAAAGAGGGTATGATATTTGTAATGTTGAAGGCTTTCCCAAAAACACATGGGTACAATGCCAATTTTATAGCTTCTGGAAGAGGCAAAACTATATAAACAATAAAAACCTCTCTGCTTCCTGGTCACCAGGCCATGAGCAGCTTTCCTCTGCCACGGCTCTCTGCCATACCATGGCTCCTGCCTTGGACCCAGCCAAATACAAATTGAAATCTCTACTAACCATGAGCAAAAATAAACCTTGCCTCCTTTTGTGTGTGTGTGGGGGGACTGTGTTGGTACATACCTGTAATACAAGCACTCTGGTGGCTGAGGCAGGAGGATCACACAAATTTGACGGTAGCCTGAACTACAAAGCAAGACCCTGGCTGACTGAAAAAGAAAGAACCCAAAAAACAAAACACACCAAACAGTAAAAAGATCAGGAGTTACCAGAGTCTGGGGGGAATGAGATGAACAGAGTACAGAGGATTTTATTTTAGGGCAAGGAAACTATTCTATATGATGCTATGGCTGTTACACATTATATTTGCCAAAATATGTAGAATGTAAAACACCAAGAATAAACCTTAATCTAAAGAATGGGTGTTGGGTGACAACCGGTCACTGTTGGCTGTCCTAATTTCTTTGGGCATTACAATAAAATACTAGAGCCTGGGTGGTTCAAATGGAAATTTCACAGAGTTCTAGAGGCAAAGATGTGAACAAGAATTCTACTGCACTGCTACAGGCACATAAACTACAAATGGACCCTTGACTTACGAACTAAATTCATTCATAAGGGCTGGTTGTAACTCAAGTTAGTCAGGCTCCTCTACACAGCCTTTAAAGCTTCTCTCCTGTGCAAGTGTAGGTCACACTTTCTTCCAGGAAGATCTCAGTGTCCTTAGAGAGACACTGGCTCAGGATTTCTGAATTAACCCCACACAGGAAAGAATGGTGAAACGTTCCTTTCAGAATTCTTTAGGGGTTAAAGCTGTATCTGAGACCATCTGGAAACACAAGCGGCTAGATTCAGGTCTTAACTCAAGTCTTTGGTCATAAGTTAAAACTATCATAACACAAGTTGTTCATATGTCAGGCTGATCTTAATTTGAAGGTCCATTATAATTCTCTCATCCTATACTGCAGGAATCACATTCCTGGGACTATAATTCAAAGCACTTGTCACCA